GCTGCGCCGCTACCTTGGCTTGCAGATCTCCAGGGACAGAGCAGCGTGCACCATCACTCTCACACAATCACACTTGGTGCGCTAGGTCCTTCAGAGGTTCGGCCTTCAGTTCTCTTCCGCACAGCCCACCCCTCTGCCAGCAGACCACAGACTCTCTGCTCTAGTTCCGGAGGAGGCTGTAGAGCCTAGTGGTCCTTACGCAGAGCTGGTGGGTTGCCTCATGTACGTGATGCCTTGCACTCGTCCAGATCTCGTATACCCTCTCAGCATCCTGGCCCACTTTGTGGCCACAACCAGACACCGACCACAGCACCGGTCTGCGGCTAAGAGGGTTCTGCGTTATCTAGCAAGTACATCGGGCATGGGGCTAGTGCTAGGAGGACGCAAACCAGTGGTCCTTACTGGGCATACAGACGCTTCTTGGGCAGACGACGTCGAGACTCTCAGGTCGTCGCAGGGCTACTGTTTTAGCCTTGGTGCAGGTGCTGTCTCGTGGAGGTCCACCCGCTCGTCGTCTGTTGCCCAGTCTAGCTGTGAGGCTGAGATCTACGTCGGTGCCATGGCGGCACAAGAGCTCCGTTGGTTGACTTTCTTGCTCACAGACTTAGGTGAACGGCCTAGCTCTACCCCGGTCCTGTATGCTGACAACAGGGCCATGATCCTCCTGTGTCAGGAGTCTTGACTGAGGGCAGAGCGAAGCACATCCAGCTGCGGTACTTCCTCCTGCGCGAGCTACAGCAGCGTCGCCAGGCCCGCGTAGGACACTTGGCCTCCGGTGCCACCACAGCTGATATCTTTACGAAGGCACTTGCGCCTAAAGATCATCAACGGCACTGTGTACAGCTTGGACTCGTTCCTGTAGCACCTGATTTGCTAGGACCTCGATGGTGTATAACGCTTTATATATTATCCTGATTGGCCTTGTGGCTTTCTCCTAGTGGCTGGACTAGTAGTGCCGCCCTGGTCTTGTTCTTGTCTTGTTTGTACTCTTTTGACTGGTCTTTAGGCCTCTGCCTTAGAGGTTGAACTAGTAGTGCTGCTCTGAGCTGCCTGTCTCTCATCTGGCTCTGCCCCTATCTAGTCTAGGGAGTGTGTCAAACATATTTTTGTATGTTTAGTAGACTACATAGGGTCTTGCCATAGAGAATACAACCCACTAGCTATATACTCATGTATTCTCTCATTCTAGTCATTGGTTCTAACTCTGAGACTTTTGACCTCTATACATCCGCTAATCTGCGAGTTCCTTAAGTGCCCGCTTGTTGCTTTCCTATGGCCTGCATGTCTGCTTTTCCTTGCATGCCTGCTGCATTTCCTTGCATGCCTGCATCACTGTTCATGCCTCTGTACCCTCCATCCCCCTCTCTTTTCGATCTCCTCGTCTGCACTCGACACCAACAGGCTGACATCCCCTTCACCTATTCGCTCCTATATGACCAGTCGTTGCTAGTTGCTTCTACTTCAGGCGCCTCCTGCTTCTGCTTCACTTGCTACCTGCTTCCGCTTCACTTGTTGCTTGCTGTTACTAGCTATGTCTGCCTAGACTGAATATTTAGCTTTATATGTTTTCTTTTATGTTTTTTTACTCAATCAAATTGCCTCAATCTTTGCGAATGGCAGTTAAGGTATATAACTGTGCCATGAGGCGGCCTCAGATATCAGGGTAAAATACCCTGAAAGCTTGAATTTTAGGGTGTATTATGGTGTATCTTGTCAACTTACATATTAGCTATGTAGAAGTTATAGGCTACACTGGGGTATGCTTCTAGTGAGTACAACCAACTAGTATTTGTCTAGGTTTCTTCTTCTAGTTCATTATTCAGTTCTTACTTTAACATGGTATCACGCGTAGGTTAGAATCCCCTACCTACCGCTTCAGCCCGTACCCTAGCTAGGCCTCGCCGCGCCCCCCCCCCCCGTGGGCCCCGTCGCGCCTCCTAGCCCCGTCGTGCCCCTCCTGGGCCCCGTCGTGCCTCCTAGCCCCGTCGCGCCCCCCTAGCCCCGTCGCGCCCCTCCTGGGCCCCGACGCGCCTCCTAGCCCCATCGTGCCCCTCCCAGGCCCCGTCGCGCCTCCTAGCCCAGTCGCGCCCCTCCTGGGCCCTGTCGTGCCTCCTAGCCCCGTCGCGCCCCCTAGCCCCGTCGCGCCCCTCCTGGGCCCCGTCGCGCCCCCCCCTGGGCCCCGTCGCGCCCCTCCTGGGCCCCGACGCGCCTCCTAGCCCCGTCGTGCCCCTCCTGGGCCCCGTCGCGCCTCCTAGCCCAGTCGCGCCCCTCCTGGGCCCCGTCACGCCCTGCCTGGCCCTGTCTCGCCCTGCCTAGCCCAGTCGCGCCCCTCCTGGGCCCCGTCGCGCCCCTTCTGGCCCGGTCGCGCCCTGCCTGGCCCCATCGCGCCCGCCTGGCCCCGTCGCGCCTGCCTGGCCCCGCCGCGCCTGCCTGGCCCCACCGCGCCTGTCTGGCCCCTCCGCGCCTACCTGGCCCACGCCGCGCCTGCCTGGCCCTGCCGCGCCTGCCTGGCCCCGCCGCGCCTGCTGGCCCGCCGCCTGCCTGGCCCCGCCGCGCCTGCCTGGCCCCGCCGCGCCTGCCTGGACCCGCCGCGCCTGCCTGGCCCCACCGCGCCTGCCTGGCCCCGCCGCCCCTGCCAGGCCCCTCCGCGCCTGCCTGGCCCCGCCGCACCTGCCTGGCCCCTCCGCACCTGCCTGGCCCCACCGCGCCTGCCTGGCCCCGCCGCGCCTGCCTGGCCCCGCCGCGCCTGCCTGGCCCCGCCGCGTCTCCCTGGCCTCTCCCACTGCCCGCCCGGCCCCTCTTCGTGCCCTCTCGGCCTGCCGTGCCACCTCGGGCCCCGTCTACTCTGCTCGCCGGTGCTGGGGCGCCTCGCGGCCGCCGTGCTGGAGAGTGCTGCCACCGTGTCTCTGAGTCGCTGTGTTCCTACGGAGCTGTGGAGCTATGCCGCTGACCCTGCACGATGGCTGACTTCGTGCTCCGACTGGACGCCGAGGGCCATGCGGTTGAATTCGTCGCCTGGCTCTCCGATCTCCGCCGCCACCTTACATGTCAGTGCCAGGATGGCCACTCTTTGGTTGTCCATGTCGATGGCTTGCTCCCCCGCCCCCCCGCACCTGCTCCCCTCCCTGCTGACCCCTCCTCTGATGACCGTGAGACCTTCACTACTGCTGCGCTTGCCTGCGCGATCTGGGACTCCCGCGATGCAGTCGCTCAGGTTGCTATTAGCCACGCCCTCCCTGTGTCTGAGCGCTCGCGCTTTGCTATCATTGAGACGACCAAAGCTTACTTAGACGCCGTCATTGCTCGCTACTCCACACAGACGCTTCTTGGGCAGACGACTCTGAGACGCCCAGGTCGTCGCAGGGCTACTGTTTTAGCCTTGGTTCGGGTGCTATCTCTTGGAGATCCACTCGCTCGTCGTCTGTAGCTCAGTCCAGCTGTGAGGCTGAGATCTACGCTGGTGCCATGGCGGCACAGGAACTCCGCTGGCTGACCTTCCTGCTCACAGACTTAGGTGAGCGGCCTAGCTCTGCCCCGATCCTGTACGCTGACAACAGGGCCATGATACTCCTGTGTCAGGAGCCTCGACTTGAGGGCAGAGCGAAGCATATCCAGCTGCGATACTTCCTCCTGCGCGAGCTACAGCAGCGCCGCTAGGCCCGCATAGTTCACTTGGCCTCAGGTGCCAACACAACTGATATCTTTACTAAGGCGCTTGCGCCTAAAGATCATCAGCGGCACTGTGTACAGCTTGGTCTTGTTCCTGTAGCTATTCACCTGTTAGGATCCTGATTGTGTACTCTCTATTATATATACCTGTCAGACTGGCCTTGTGGCCTCACCTCCAGTGTAGTGCCGCCCTGGCTTGCTTTAGTCTTGTTTGTACTCTTGCTGACTGGTCTCTAGACCCCTATCTCAGTGGTTGGACTAGCAGTGCCACCCTGAGCTGTTTGCTTCTTGCTTAGCTTCACCCCTTGTCTAGCCTAGGGGGTGTGTCAACTTATACATACTAGCTATGTAGAAGTTATAGGCTAGACTGGGGTATGCTTCTAGTGAGTACAACCAACTAGTATTTGTCTAGGTTTCTTATTCTAGTTCATTATTCAGTTCTTACTTTAACATATCGGTACACCTTGAGATTTCAGTATATTCGCTGTATTTTGGCATGTGATTTAGGAAGTTGGTCTCTTAGAACCGTGCTATTTCAGATTGTTCTTATCCGCTAAGGCCTGAAAGCTCTGGGTATTAAAGCCCGTGGCCCAAATTGCGAGGCGCGACCTTCAAACGCACTGCGTTTGAAAGTCGCGTTTTCGTGGGTGTAGATGGGGGTAACGTGACTCGCGTCACTCGGGGCTGGCTTTCAAGTTCAGCGCGGAACGTATTTTGGGACACCAAGTGCCTCGCGTTTTTTAGCCGTCCAATATTTGTCGATTTCCATCTAACGGTGTGCAAGTAAAGTGCTTCCCCCCGTCAGTCGAAATGTAATCTCAGCCGTCGCACTGCCTGCTTGCAAATCGGACGATCTACGACAAATGAGGAATTCGCGACATGAAATACCCTCACGAGTTTTCTGTGTATTTCGTCCAGGCCGAGGCTCACAGTTCATGCGCAGTGCGTATGAACAATTTGGGCCGCGGGTTTTAAGGGGGCGTTAATAGGCTTATCCTTTGATTATGGTCAAAGATACCCCATGATCTCATCATCACCCACAACATAACACATTGCATTATTATTCATCGTTACTATCAATATTGTCACTCGTTGGTTCCTCGTTCGTTGGTTGGCTGTCTACAGTCGATGCGGCTTGCCTCGCACGTGGCGTCTGACACAGCCTGACAGCCTCCGTTCCCACGCCCCAGGGCCCAGGGTTCACGCCAACTCCGAGTGTGCGATTCCTTCCTCCTCCCTCCCTCGCTCCCCTTTCCAGCAGCACCACGGCAAGCCCGAGGGTGTCGATTGAACGTAGGCTGGTGGGCAGAAAGACGGTCATCGCAGGCAGTCAGTTGGCAGATCCACGAGTGCACTCTAGCACAAGCTTGTGCGCACGACTGTACCGTTTTCGGCTGCCCAGGCAAGGTTCGCCTGATACCAGCGTTAATGCTTGATTCCTTTCAGTGGAACTGGTAGCCTGAGACGCCAAGACAGCAGTTTCCAATACGTCGGGGTTTCGTCAATCGTTTAGCGTTTGTGTTTAGTACCTTGAACAACGCTTCTTGGTTGACCCGGAGAGGCACCAGCCATAATAATTCGACACCCGATCATTCCGAAAAGCACCAGTCATAATAAACTGACACCCGATCCTAGTCAGCATGGCGTCAACGGCAGTCGACGAAAAGCTGCTTCGGTTCGGGCAGGCCCTTGAATCAGTGATCGACGCGGAGATCGAGAAGATCGAGACGGACGACATTCAGCAGCTGCGGGAGCGGCGCCTTAAGGAGCTCAAGCAGCAGGCGCAGAAGAAGCAGGAGTGGATGGCGGCCGGCCATGGACACTACAAAGAGCTCTCTTCAGAGAAGGAGTTCTTCAGTGAAGTCAAGACGTCGGACCACGTCGTCTGTCACTTTTTCAGAAGCAGCCGTCCGTGCCAGGTTCGTTTTGTGTGCCTTCCAGGCCCGTCAGATGTTTCCCGTAGAATTGTCAGGCTCGTTGGCGAACATGTCGCTTAATTTCCTGTTCGTTTTCCCACTTCGGTCTCCCAGATCATGGATAAGCACCTCGAGATCTTGGCGAGGGAGCATCTAGAGGCGAAGTTCCTGCGGATCAACGCGGAGAAGAGCCCGTACCTGGCGGAGAAGCTGCGGATATTCATGCTGCCCACTCTTGCGCTGGTGCACAGAGGCAAAGTCACCGGATACGTGGTACGTATCCCCCCCCCACCCCCCTTCCCTCTCCCCCCTCCCCACTTCCCCTCACCCCCCCCTCCCCCCTTCCCCCTCCCCCCTTCCCCCTCCCCCTCCCCCCTTCCCCCTCCCCCTCCCCCCTCCCCCCGTTCCCGTCTACGCCGGTTACGTCTAATGTATATCGTACAATTTCTCCCCGCCAATCACAGGTTGGATTCGACGAGCTCGGCGGAACTGAGGAGTTTCCCACAGAAGTTCTCGAGACTCGGCTCGTGCTGGGCGGAGCCCTCTCCGAGGAGAAGCTGACTGGCCGCCGGCAACCCAAGCAGGAAGCGGCGAGCGTGAGACGAGGTGGTGATAGCGGCAGCGATGACGACGAATACTAGCCACTGATTTGTGGAACTAAAGCGCCTTCTCCTAACATGCTAGCTCTGTTTGCCAATATAGAGTCCTGTGTTTCTTTGTGGGAAAAATCTCACTTGGTGCGTAGGGTATGCCTGGCTGTACTAGAGTCACAACCAACTGTACAAAAGACACTGTCGAGAGACCCACTGGGGTCGCCCTAGAAGATCCTCGAAAGGGTCACAGGCCTCTATGCCTGGGGGGTTATCGAGCCCTTATAGCATAGTGGTTGGCAGCAGCTGTGCATTCTGAGAGACCAGTACAATGCCACTGTATAATAGGCCGCGATTTTCATGCGAGGTTATGGCCTTCTAGATGCAAGAGGCTACTGTTTTGCTTGTGCATATCGATTGCTGTAGTAGATTCCGCAACTGCTGACCCAGCACCTGAGCAACAGGAATTGCACTGCATCATGCAGCAGCCAAGCAGTACGGTGTGCTGTGGAGCTCGGTAAGGCTCGGGAAGTGGAAACTAGCCAAGCCTAGAAATTGCAGGTGGGGGAACGCTAAAAACTGGTACCCGTACCTAGAAATAAAACCAATGCAGTGTAGCAAAACCAGAGCCACGCTCGAGTCTTGCCTGGCCAATCTCATGACTGCGGTCGCATGTACGACTCCCACTGCTTGGTCCCTCCAGACTGTGCTACAGTAGCGTCAGGCGCAGCATACTGTACCGGTATGGGCGGCACCGGCAGCACCCCTTCCTGGTCGTGATTGTAATTATACTGCTGTGGAGATGGCTGGTAGTGATGCATTGCGTTGTAATGATGCGGTTGCGGGGGGTAAGGCTGGGTGTAGTAATCGCCGCCGTAGGTGTACTGCTGATGTTGATGCTGGTGGTAGTCTGGGTGGGGGGGAACTTGCTGCTGGTAATCCACTTGGCTGTACTGCTGCTGAGGCTGTTGTTGCTGGAACCCACCATAGCCCCCAATCGGGCCTCTAGGATCAGCAATGGACGGCTGGGATGCACTTGAGTAGAAACGAGCGAACGGATTTGACGCACCCTGCTGCTGCTGCTGCTCTCCCTGCTGCTCCTGCTCCTGCTGCGGCTGTTCTTGTTGCTGGCCTTGCTGCTGCTGCTGCTGCTGCGGCTGCTGCTGGTACTGCTGCTGCTGATGCTGGTGGTTCTGGCTTGCCAGAGGGGGGGAGCGGAAGCCGGTGGGAGACTGGAGCTGTGAGGAGGACTGGACACCTGAAGGAGATTGGAGGCCCGAGGGTGATTGGAGCCGTGAGGGTGTCTGGAGGCTGGAGGGAGGGGACTGAATCGAACCCCCTCTTAGAGAGCCAGAAGGACGTGCAGACGACCGGGAGTGAAGTCGCTGCTTGTGTTGGGATAGGCTTGGTACTGCTGCTCCTGATGCTCTTGCTGCTGCTGCCACTCCTCTTGATCCTGCTGCTGCCCCTGCTGCTGCCGCAGCAGCTCGTGCCCCGGCCAAATGAGCAGCAGTAGCAGCGGGGAGGGAAGGCGTCACCCATTGGACATCAGGTGGTGGGGGTGAGGCAAAGTCTCCGCCCACCCCTCCACTTCCCCCTACTCCTCTCCCTCCTGCTCCTACCCCTGCTTGCACCCCAGATGCCCCCCCATTGCGACCCTCTCCCACCCCCTCTGAAGCCAGCCCCAGATTCAGCCCGAACACATTATTCTCTGCACCTCCTCGCTCTCCCTGGCCCCTCCCTCCCTCTCTCCCCCCTGCTGCTGCTGCTGCTGCTGGCTGTCTCCCAACCCCCCCTCCTGCTCCTCCTAATCCTCCCGCTCCTGCGCCATCCCCCTCCAGAAGAAAATCCGTGATGAAATCGAGGGTGGGCGTGTTGTCTCTAGAAGCACCAGCACCAGCACCAGCACCAGCAGCACCAGCTGCCGCCCCTTGGCTGCTGCTGCTGGGGCCAGCTGCAGCACCGTAGGAGCGATCAAACGCGTTGGTTAGGTCAGCCCTCCGGTCGTCCCTCCACACGTCGAGCAGCGTGTTCACGTCTGCTCTCCGCCCCTCATACTGCCCTTGCTCCCCCTGCTGCTGCCACTGCCCCTGCCCCTGCCCCTGCTGCTGCTGGGGTTGGCCAGTGCTACTGGGCACTTGCCTCCCTGCAGCATTTGTGGCTGGTGGCTCATCCTCCCCTTCACTATCACTCAGATCGATCGGGTTATCCTCCCCTCCCTCATCCCCAAACCAGTTCGCCCCACTCCCCCCACGCCCTGCCGCCCCTGCCCCTGCACCCCCACTGCCGCCCACTCCCCTCATTTGTGCTCCTCCCCCTCTCCCCTGGCTCGGTTCCCCCCCTGGCCCACTGTATGGGTTACCAAAGGAGGATCTATCGCCATACCCTGACTCGGCTGTGTGGGCAGCACCCACACTAGAAGTTCCCCCTGCATCCACCATCACCCCGTTCGTAGCCGCTGCACCAGCTTCACCAGCTTCACCCGCTCCAGCTGCCGTGGGTGCGCGCATGCCTGCTTGCACTGCTCCCGACGCCCCTGGCCATCCCGCTAAGGCTGCAGCTGCTGCTGGCTCGCCGTTGCGCCTGGCAGTATATCCTCGTTGTTCTCCCATACCTCCTCTTGCCACGTTCCCCCCAAAGCCGAGGGAAAGACCAATGTCGGCTCCTGCTAGGCTAGGCCCGTTCTCCCCTCCTCCTGCTCCTCCTCCTCCTCCCGCTCCCGCTCCTGCTCCCGCTCCTGCACCTGCTCCAGCTCCTGTGTCTCCTCTTGCTGTGGGCCACCTGGATCGCTGTCTCTTGGGGGTACTCACTCCAAGGGGAGCAATAATACCACCACCCGCACCAGCACCGCCATCAGCACCCACATCACCACCATCACCTAGCAACTCAATCACCACCGGCTGCTGCTGCTGCTGGAACGGCAACTGCTGTTGCTGATACTGATACTGCTGCTGCTGTTGCTGCTGTTGGTACTGCACCTGCTGCTGCTGCTGCTGGTCTCGATGCTGCAGCGTCCGCCCACAGTTCACCTCGCTCCCTCCCGGCTCATCCTTCGCCATCCACCTCCCCCGCTTCGCCCGTGACTCACCAGACAGCAGGTCCTCTGCCCCTCCCGCCCCCGACCGCGCCCCACTCGTCACATCATCCGCCGTATCCCCTTGCCCCTCCACCATCATCCCATTCCCGTTCTCCCCCACCCCTGCCCCGAGCTCTGTTTTCACCTGCCCGAAAGGCACGCGCACGTCCCGCCAGGGGAGGGCTGCAGCGGCAGTGGCAGCTGGGGCTGACTTGGAGGACTTTGCAGACTTGGAGAGCGGCTGCTCTAGCTTGGGACGCCACGTGCCGTCTGACCTCAGTTGGATGTCTGTGACGTCGCTGTCGTAGTCCGACATCTGGGGAGGAGTATGCAATTGCAGAGAGAAGCATTTACGGCAAGAGGCTACAGGCAATAGGCAAGAGGCTACAGGCAAGAGGCAATAGGCAATAGGCAAGAGGCAAGAGGCAAGAGGCTACAGGCAAGAGCACGAGACATGAAACGACAAACAGAAGCGTCAGGAGCTGAGCTGGGGTTGGCTTGAGGGGCCTCAAATCCGTTAAGACAGGATCAAGGGCTGAACCGGCAGCAAAGAAGGAGCCGAGAGGGCAGGCAAGGAGCCGGGAGGGCAGGCAAGGAGCCGGGAGGGCAGGCAAGGAGCCGGGAGGGCAGGCAAGGAGCCGGGAGGGCGGGCTAGGAGCCGGGAGAGCGGGCTAGGAGCCGGGAGGGCGGGCTAGGAGCCGGGAGAGCGGGTTAGGAGCAGGGAGGGCGGGCTAGGAGCAGGGAGGGCGGGCTAGGAGCCGGGAGAGCGGGCTAGGAGCCGGGAGAGCGAGCTATGAGCAGGGAGGGCGGGCTAGGAGCTGGGAGAGCGGGCTAGGAGCAGGGAGGGCGGGCTAGGAGCCGGGAGAGCGGGCTAGGAGCAGGGAGGGCGGGCTAGGAGCCGGGAGAGCGGGCTAGGAGCAGGGAGGGCGGGCTAGGAGCCGGGAGAGCGGGCTAGGAGCAGGGAGAGAGAGCAAGGGAAAAGTACCTCTTTGCAGACTCGATGGAAGAAAGGGTCGATGATGAGCGAATCGAGCGTGTAGAGCTTCATGCACACGGGGCACTGCCACTGATGGGATGAAGGGTGAGGGACGGGGTTATAGATGGAAGGAACGACAGGATTCGCAGTGAGTCCAGGGTGTAGAGCTTCATGCACACGAGGCATTGCCACTGATGGGATGAATGGTGGGTTTGTAAGGAGAGAAGGGAAGAGGAGGGATGAGGAGGGGAGACGAGGGGAGACAAGGGGAGGGAAGGAGAGAGTGGAGGAAGAAAGGGAGGATAAACGAACGTGCAGTGCAGTGAAGGGGAGGTAAACGTAAAGAAAGGATAAGTCATCCTCCTTCCATCTTGCTGTTCTCATCCATGCGTACTCATGCATGGGCGTATCAGAACTCAATTTCTGATGGGGGTTGATCTCGATGAACGTGGTCAGGTCGAAGCCCCCAATGCACGCACACACTCCCCCCCCTTGTGTTCACGCGGGCCCACCTTCTGTCAAAGTCTGTGCGCCCTGGTTGATTGCCTCACGTACACATTTCATACAATACCTTCCTTGCTCGCTGGTTGATCTCGATGAACGTGGTCAGGTCGAAGCCCCCCATGTGCCCACACTGCCCCCTTGCGTGCACTTCTGCACACACTTGTTCATTACTCCATATAGACGTCGCATAACTCACCACCCTTGCTCCCTCACCTTCCTTGCTTTCTCACCTTCCTTGCTCTCTCACCTTGCTTGCTCTCTCACCTTCCCTGCTCGCTGGTTGATCTCGATGAACGTGGTCAGGTCGAAGCCCCCCATGTGCCCACACTGCCCCCTTGCGTGCACTTCTGCACACACTTGTTCATTACTCCATATAGACGTCGCATAACTCACCACCCTTGCTCCCTCACCTTCCTTGCTCGCTGGTTGATCTCGATGAACGTGGTCAGGTCGAAGCCCCCCATGTGCGCGCACTCCCTAAACCGACCAGCCTCTCGGATGCGTGACCCACTCATCTGGGATTGCGGCGTAAGGTAGGAAAGGCGAGATAGGGAGGAGGCACGGAGTCACACGACTGTGTTGTGCCGCTCGAAGTACCCATGCTTGCTCGTTCCAACCAACCAGCCTCGCGAATATACCCATGCTTGCTCGTTCCCTAATCTGAAAAGGAGGCTGGTTACTGGTGTGGTGGGAGAAGAGGTGATAGAGTACGGATGGGATGGGACAGCAGCTGGGTGGGGATATAGGTTAATTCGAGACGTCTAGAAACGAACGTACGCTGATGTGAGAACAAGGCTGGTATGGTGGGAGAAGAGGAGATGGAGAAAGGATGAGATGGGATCATTGGATCATGGGAACATGGGATCATGGGATCATGGGATCATGGGATCATGGGATCATGGGATCATGGGATTATGGGATCATGGGATCATGGGATCATGGGATCATGGGATCATGGGATCATGGGATCATGGGATTATGGGATCATGGGATCATGGGATCATGGGATCATGGGATCATGGGATCATGGGATGGGACAGCAGCTGGGTGGGGAGATAGGTGTGCGCAAAGAGTGCTTGGATTTTTTAGGCGCCTCAAAAAGCAGCTGGGTGGGGAGATAGGTGTGCGTAAAGAGTGCTTGGAAGGGCAGCGGTACTTAGACACTTGAGCACAGAAAGAGGTGGCTTGGTACTCAAACAATGCAGGTTGAGTGAGCGGAGATAAATATCATTTCTCATTTGGTATTCTTGCATCCCAATCAGATCGCTGCTGCTGCTGCTGCTGCTACCACAATGCCACCCTTGCAACTAACACCACGTACCAACTGTAAGTACATTACACACTCACAGGGCAGCGGAGATTCAGCGTGACATAGTCCTGCATGACAATCAGGTCGCTGCTGCTGCTGCTGTTGGACGCCGACGCTGCTGTCGCCCCACCCCCACCCCCACCGCCCCCACCCCCCCCTCCGCCTCCTCCCTCTCCGCCTCCTCCTCCCCCGCCTCCCACGCAGCGCTTCACTCGCGCAAGGGCAACTTCGAGTGTTTCTCCCACGTCCACAGGGGGGATCATTGCCATCACCTGGATTGTACGGGGGATAAAGAAAGGAGGAGGGGGAAGGGGGGGGGAGGGGGGGGGGGGAGGATAAGGAGCGAGTGTTATGATCTAGACGTGTAAGTGCTTCACTCGCGCAAGGGCGGATTCGAGCGCCTCTCCCACATCCACAAGCAGTATCATTGCCGCGACCTGGCCTAGGCGGGCATGGTGTGGAGGCGGCAGAACAAGAGGTGAGTGAGCAAGCAGTGAGCAAGCAGCATGGCATGGTGACCAACGGGAGAGGAAATGGTGCTGTGATCAAACACCCTACACACAGCCGCTTCACTCCAGCAAGGGAGGGTTCGAGCGAATCTCCCACATCCACAGGCGGTATGTATCACTGCCACGAGTCGTGACCTAGAAAGTGCAGGGGATGGGGGGCGGGTATTGAAGGGGGTAAGTTTTGAGTCGACTCAAAAGTCAGCTAAAGTGCAGGGGATGGGGGGCGGGTATTGAAGGGGGTAAGTGGAACGGAAGCATGGGCGAGAGGCAACAATGTTTCTTGCTGTTGTGCCAACGCGCAAGGGTGGAGGCATCTCCCCTTGTTCACAAAAGATCGCTTTCCATGCCAATGATGTGCACAAGTATTCACCCTGCATGAGGGAAGGCACCTCACCTCTCTGTATGGCACGAAAGCATTGCCGTGCGTCACAGCATTGCCGTCCGTCACAGCATTGCCGTCCGTCACAGCATTGCCGTCTGTCAAAAAACCTCACCTCATCAAACGACCGCTTGCGAATGATGCGCACACCAATGCAGAAGGGCCGTTTGTCAATGGCTGCCATGGCCACGTGGTTGTCCCCTGGGTGGCACGCCTCCGCTATCTGAGTGGAGGTTGAGAGGGGGGGGGGAGCGGGATGTGCGGGGGACAAAAGGGGCGCTTCTCAATGGCTGTCATGCCCACGTGGTTGTCTCCTGGGTGGCACGCCTCCGCTATCTGAGGGGCGAGGCAGGGAGGGAGCGGGAAGAGGAAGAAAGAAGGAGAGTGGGAGAACGGGGGCAGCGGGAGACAGAAGGGCCGTTTGTCTATGGCTGCCACGGCCACATGGTTGTCCCCCGGGCGGCATGCCTCTGCAATCTGTGAGAGGAGGGTGGCAAGGCAGAACAAGGGAGAGAGAGGAATACCGGGAAGAAGGGGGAGAACGGGCAGAGGAGAAGAAGGGGGAGAAGTGGGAGAGGGGGGGGGAAGGGGGAGAAAGGGGAGAAGGGGCAGAAGGGGCAGAGGGGGAGAAAGGGGAGAAGGGGATGTGGGTAGCACCAGAGCAAACACGTGCGGTTGCGAAGCAGCATGAACGCAGCAAGGCAGCACGAGACAAGGGCAGGGAGGGAGACAGGAGGAAGCATGCCCGCAGGAGGCAGCGCATGAGTGCATCAAGGCAGCATGAGAGAAGGAGAGGCATGGATGGGATGCGTACCGAGGGCCCATCATCACGGCCATTGGCTCCCAGCAGCTGCTGCCCTGGGCGGTTGGTGACTCGCACACTGCGACCTGAGCGTGGGGGAGAGGGAGCAAGGTGAGAAGTGCAAAGATGGATCTGACTTCACGCAGTGCTGGCTCCAGCAGCTGCTGCTGCTGCTGCCTTGACTGGTTGTTGACTCGGACACTGCGACCTGAGGGTGAGGGAGAGGGAAGGCGGGGGAGAAAAGTTGCGCATGCAGAAAACAGGGAAAGCAAAGCAACGTTGAGAGAGGGTGCAAAAACGGCACAAACAGTGTGTTGATGAGACGTCACAAGAACACAGTCATCTCACCGTTGATCTGCAGCTGCTGCGGGCATGCGGGCCGGCCGGTGCATGCCGGTTGCTATGAGCCTTCTATCCTCACATGTGTGCATGGCTGCTCATTGCATGCCATTGCATGCCATTGCAGGCCAGCGCAGGCATTGGATGCCACCTACTGTATCTGTCTACTTACCTCACCTCACAAGCCTGCTACCCTCACATGCTTGCTCGTCTCACCATGGTTGCTCATCTCACCGTTGATCTGCAGTTGTGGGTATGCAGGCCAGTGCATGCGGTTGGCTGTTTTGTCGTTGAGAAGAACACACCACACCTGGTGCGATCAGGTGGATTCAGATTACAACACCAGGGTGAGTGATGAGAAGGACAAGTTGGGCATGTATGAGAATCGGAGGAGCGGGAAATGTGCTACATACTAAAACGACAAGCAACGGAAGGGGAAGCAGGCAAGAGAATCGGCTCAAGGCAAGCCACGAACATTAAGGTTGATTTTTACATGGAACCAGGCCCCAGCCAGCATCTACCCTGCACCTCCGCTTCTGCAACCCACCTGCCAATCGACTGCAATACATCTTACCTGCAGGTAGTGGTGCGGGCGTCTGAGCAGGGAGAGGTCGTGAGGGGTGAGAGTGAATGTGTGCTCCAGGCGCTGCAGCACCTGGTTGCTGCAAGGTGACAGGAGGGGGGGGGGGGGGAGGGGAGCGGGTGTGGGTGTGTGCTCCAGCTGCTACAGCACTCAATTGCTGCACCAAGGAGGAGAGAGAAGGCAACGTTTGTAGCCAACTCAAACACAACTGAGGGCTGACGTGACGCGGGGCCGAATTATGAGTTGACTTAAAAAGAAGGCTGCTGCAGGACCTGTGGCCCTGTAAAGTACAGTACAGTACAGTGCAGTACAGTACAGGTGTGCTTCAACCGCTGCAGATTCGGTTGCTGCTGGAAAGAGCAGTTACGGAGGGGAGAAAGACTTAATACGGGGTGGGGAGAAAGGGGAAGGGGGGTGGGGGGAGGAGAGAGGGAGGAGGAGAGGAGTGGAGGGAGAACCGGAAGGGGGGAGGAGAGGAGATGGCAGATGACGCCAGGCACCCACTTCTATCCACCGAAACCCATACCACTAAATTAGACCATGCTGTACTTCACTTTCCCTCACACCCACCTCACTGCTCCCTCCCCCCCCCACCCCCTCACTGCTCCCTCCCCCCCCACCCCTCACTGCTCCCTCCCCCCCCCACCCCCTCACTGCTCCCTCCCCCCCCCACCCCCTCACTGCTCCCTCCCCCCCACCACCTCACTGCTCCCTCCCCCCCCCACCCCCTCACTGCTCCCTCCCTTCTGCCCCTTTATCACCTCCAACACTCACTTATCCCCGGGCAGGCGAATAAGCGCAGCTGGCGGCATGGGATTGGCCACAGGGACGGAGAATCTGCCCGTGGGCAGACCGGCAGCACAGGGGAGAGGGCAAGGGAGAGAGGAGTGAGAGTTGAGCCAGACACACAGTGGGGGTACGGAAAGGAGAGTGGTGGAAAATGGGGTGGGGGGGGAGAGATAGGTGCCGCGCACATGGGTGCCAGCGGTGGGAATAGGTGCAGCAGGTGAACACCCCTGCAGCCGCTGCTATAGCGCTGCTGCAACACTGCTACAGCCGCTGCTACAGCGCTGCTACAGCCGCTGCTACAGCCGCTGCTACAGCCGCTGCTACTAGTCGAAGGTCACAAATGTACCTACAAGTTGGCCACGCAGTTCAAGTAAAAGGCAACCCACACACACGTGTCCTCCCTGCAGTTAAGCTAAAAGAAACACTCACTGGTCGCCCTGGGCCATTCTGCACAGCCCCCAGTAGTGAGGCTATGACAGCGTGGCACTTAACTATTCCTGACCCTTCTTTGAACCCCTAACACCTTCAAGGCACCCTTATGTGTCGCCCGGAGCCACATTCTGCAGAGCTTGCAGTAGTGGTGCTCGGGAAGGGCAGCTGAGGCTGAAGCGCTGTTGTATTTCTAAAACTTTTCTCTAACCCCCGCATGTGTCAGCTAAAAGCAACACTTACGGGTCGCCTCTGGCCATTCTGCAGAGCTCGCAGTAGCGGTGCTTGGAGAGGGCCAGCGGGAGGCAGCGGTATTTCCAGGCATTTTCTCTAAGTGCTGCAGGTCACCTAGAAAAATCACTTACGGGTCGCCCCGGGCCATTCTGCAGAGCTCGCAGTAGTGGTGCTCGGGGAGGGGCAGCTCGGGCTGAGGCACGGAGGAGGTGTCTCCTGTGAGCGGGGGGTTCTCTGGCAGGATGACGCACTTGACGTGCTGCCACACGCCACAGCTCACGTGCTCGCACTGCAGGAAGAGGGGGTGGGAAGGACGGTGAGAGTAGCAGAATGGAGGACCTTGATGAGGCGCTTTCTCCGACAACATGGCGTCGTGCTCGCAGTGGAAGGAGAGGGCATTGGGGGGAGAAGGGGGCACTGGGAGTGGGGCTGAGGAGGTGTGTCTCCTGTGAGCGGCGGGTTCTCTGGTAGGATGACGTGCTGCCACACGCCACAGCTCACGTGCTTGCACTGTTGGCGAGGAGGGGGGACAACGGAAAAAGGAAGGGGGAGAAAGGGAGAGAGGGAGGAGAGGGGGGAGAGGGGGGAGAGGGGGGGAAGAAGGGGGAGAGGAGGGGGGAGGGGGGAGAGAGCGGAGAAAGGGGGGGAGACGGGGGAAGACGGGGGAGACAGGGAGGGATGGGGTGGATACGGGGGGAGACAGGGGGAGGCGGGGTGGATACGGGGGGAGAGGAGGGGGGGGAATGGAGGGAGAGGAGCAGGAAGATGGGGGGCGGAGGGGGGGAGGGAAGGGAAAGAGTAGAAGTGGCAGAATGGTTTGCGTCTTGATTGTGGGAGGCGGTTCCCTGGCAGATGAGGCACTTCATGTGCTGCCATACTTGTGGTCACACGCCACAAGGGGAAGGACAACAACGCAAACGAGCTGTAAGCCTGTAACCACTACTGCCTCTATTCGCAAGTGAGGCATCAGAGCCTCGGAACATGCATGATCAAAACTCTCCGAACTAAGTTACCTGATCTGGATCATGGCTGTTGAGGTGCCTCAATCAAGCATCGTCCAACGCACCTGAATCATGGTTCCCCCGGTGTCAAAATTCCTCAGGCAGACGCACCGGATCTCCTCCACCTTGTGCTTGTACCCATACTCATCCCCTCTATTAGCTGCCCTCTTACTAGCTCTACCGCCTCCCCCTGGCTCTGCCTTAACTGCCCTAGACGACCCATGCCCATGCCCATGCATATGCCTATTCTGTTGCTGCAGCGGCGGCTGGGGAATGGAGCCGCCTGCAGCTGCCATGTCAGTGTCTTCCCCTGCTCCCCCTTCTATCCTATCTGCCGTCTCTGCCCCTTCCCCCCTCTCCGCCCCCTCCGCACCACCCCTATCAACCCTCTCCTCTCTTCTCCTCTGCAGCTGAACCGGGGAGTTCACAGGCGTGGTATCCTGACCACCGCTGCGCATCGTCCTGTATGCCTCCTGGATGACCTCTGCCACACGCGTGGGGGTGATTGTAGGCACGCCTGCGTGACAGTACACGGGATCAGGGTGGTTGGGGGGGTTGAGAACAAGAAGAGGAAGTACGAGGAGTGTGAGCGGTGGGAGATAGACCTTTCAGTCAACTCAACAATCACCTTGGCTGCACGCGTGGGGGTGATCGTAGGCACGCCTGCGTGACAGTGTGGGATCGGGTTGATGGGGAGTTGAGTACAGGAGGAAGGAAGCGGAGAGCGTGGGGGGGAGGGTGGGGCGGGGGAGGGGGGGCGGGGAGGGGGGAGGAGATAGATAGACCTTTGATTCGCCTGAAAGATGACCTCGGGTGCACGCGTGAGCGGGGGTGACGAGAGGAACGCCTGCACGGCACAACAGGGGTTGAATCCCACGGAGGGAGGAATGGGGAGGAGAGTGTGAGAGGTGGGAGGAGTCGACTCAAAGAAGGCCTCTGCCACGCGTGGGTGGAGGGGATGGCAGGGACGCCTGCCCGTCCGCCATGACAGGTCCACGCCAGGAGGAGGGAGGAGGAGAGTGTCAGCAAAGGGACAAGGGACAGGCTCGGTGTGCTAGTTGTGTGTGACTCGGTAAAGAGAAGCCCGCCATGCTGACGGATGAGTGGATGAGTGGCTGGCTGGTGCGTGTGTGCACTCATGTAAGGCTCGCCAAAAGTTGTGCTGGAGTGGGCATGCAAACGCGAGAATTAATACACGGATGGGCTGCCAGACGGCAGAATAGAGGCGACGGTATGTATGGAAGGAAAAGGAGAGTATATTGATTATATCCTGTGAGAGGAAGGGAGTGAACTTACGGCCGTTGAAAGGGACGGATGGCGATGACAGGAGGGCTTCGATCCGATCCACCAGTACCTGTTCGCCGTGGCATGCGTGGTAGGGAGGTGGCATGGGGTGGTGACGTGGCATGGGATGGTGATGTGGCATGAGGCGGTGATGTGGCATGGGGTGGTGATGTGGCATGGGGGTGGTGATGTGGCATGGGGGTGGTAATGTGGCATGGGGTGGTGATGGGGCATGGGGTGGTGATGGGGCATCGGGTGGTGATGTGGCATGGGGTGGTGGTGGTGATGTGACATGGGGTGGTGGTGATGTGGCATGGGGTGGTGGTGATGTGACATGGGGTGGTGGTGATGTGACATGGGGTGGTGGTGATGTGACATGGGGTGGTGATGTGACATTCATGTGGCATCAGGTGTAGTGTTGATAAGCCTGCTGCTTGAGCCGCAACAAAACAAGACAGAACGGCAGCAGCAACAGCTGGGCTGCTTATGAAAACGATGTCTGATGCTTCTATTGGGGCTTCTGCTTCACCCCTGAGTCACCAATCACTGCCAGAAGGTAAATCGTGTCAGGACTTCAATTTGCAAAACGCCAGCCAGCCAGCCAGCCAGCCAATCAGCCAATCAACCAGGCAGAGCACCTTCTATGTGCCGCTTACAAAGCGGCCTGCCGCCTTCTTTGCTCCAGCACCAGTCACTGCCAGAATGTGAATTATGTCAGAAAACAACAGCAGCTACCCCTTGGCTATTCAACTCTCGTCTTACAACAACGCTGCCACAGCCGCCTCCTTTCTGTCCAGCACCAATCAATCACTGCCACAAGGTGCATCGTGTTAGTCCCCAACAGCAATCCCATAATGGCTACCTGACTCTCGTCTTACAATGCTGCTGCTGCCTCCTTTCCGTGCAGCCCCAGTCACTGCCAGCATATGCATCACGTTAGGAAGCAACAGCAAACCTCCATCGCATCTTCTCCTTTCCACCCTGACTGGCTGCTGGTGCTCTGGCAACACGCAACTGGACATCCCACTGTCCGCGCTATAGAGTTGCCATCCTGAGCACAACTGACCTGCTTCTTGCCGGACTTGGAAAGTCCCAGATGGCCCAGAACGTCCTTGAGCTCCTTCAGACGGAAACAGGCGAGCTGCGACTGCAGGGAGCGGTGAGAGATAGAGAGGGGAAATTGGGGATCACGATTCACAGCCAAGGAGACAACGCCCGTGAGCTCCTTCAGACGGACACAGGCGAGAAGAAGCGACTGCAGCGAGCAAGGCGGGAGAGCGGAGGGCAATGAAGAAGTAAGACCAAGGAGACGGGGATAAGGACAAAGGAAACGAGGGTCACGACAAGATGTCCACAGGGGGAAATCAACTCAGGGGGAAATCAACGCGGGGGGGAAATCAACGCTGGGGGGATATCAACGCTGGGGGGAAATCGACGCTGGGGGGGAATCAACGCTGGGGGGAAATCAACGCTGGGCGGATATCACGCTGGGGGGAAATCAACGCTGGGGGGATATCAACGCTGGGGGGAAATCGACGCTGGGGGGGAATCAACGCTGGGGGAAAATCAACGCTGGGCGGATATCACGCTGGGGGGAAATCAACGCAGGGGGGAAATCAACGCTGAAGGGATATCAAGGCATAGTGAAAGAAGCTAGCTACTTGAGTCGGAAACACCCAGGCCGACCGACCGGGGATGACGAATCGGTCAGGGGATAGGGAAGGAAGATAAAGGGGAAGAAGCGATAGCGGAGAGCAGGGGAGAATGGGGATCCAACAGCCCTAGACGGCATTGAGGGGGGGACAGCTGGAAAAAATAGTACAATCGGACCAACGGATGACATGGCACCCCGCTGAGACCATGGGACTGGAGGCAAGCAGCAAATAGTGTGCGGGAAGCCATGGTGCTACAGCCATGGTGCTAACAGCCATGGTGCTACAGCCATGGTGCTACAGCCATGGTGCTACAGCCATGGTGCTAACAGCCATGGTGCTACAGCCATGGTGCTACAGCCATGGTGCTACAGCCATGGTGCTACAGCCATGGTGCTCCAGCCATGGTGCTACAGCCATGGTGCTACAGCCATGGTGCTACAGCCATGGTGCTAGACCGCTAGAACCATGGTTCTACAGCCAAGGTGCTCGAATGCTAGAGCCATGGTGGCTAGCCAACGGGTGTTAGCGAGACGCACGAAGTCACGAGAGCGAAGGGTGTGCATCAGAACACACGAAAGGTTACCACGGATCATACGCTAATCGCCTGCTGCTTATAGCGGAACACGGAGCGGTTACCACTCGTCATGCGCGAACCCGTATCTGCTTATAATAACAGCTAATCGTTCGCTTTACTGAATCACAAGTTCACCGCATTAGTTTATTCTAATCAACGTAACCAGCTGACGTCACGCACCCTAGCTTGCGTCATCAGATCGTCCATGGGCCTCGCAGCGACCAGCGCTGGCATCAGCGGCGATTTCGCCTCGATCCGACGGCTCCTGTGGAATAATCGGACGGCCCTCGTGGCTGCATTAAAACGAGCGAGCTCTGTTCAAAGGGCAACCCTGAGAGCACAGCGAACCCTAACGCGTTTCGTCAAATCGCCTCAGAAGCACCGACGATGGACGACGACGACGTCAGGCTCTCCTCGGCAACAAACCCTAAAGTGCCACGATTTCCTCGGTTGTTCCAACGCACCCTCCTAAATGACCAGCAGACGCCGCACCGCGAGAGCGGCGAGGCGAGAGACTAAGAGACTATGCAACAGGTAGAGGCAGGCCGCGCACAGCAGAAGAGGTCTAAGCTGCGTATCTGCGTTGCGCGGCTGCGCACTGTAGCCAGCTAGTAACCTATGTGGTAGCTAGTAACTGTGATTGTAGCAGGAGCAGCAAGCCCTAGCCAATAACACACAGCAGCACGACAACCCCTAGGTCCCGCGGGGGCAACACTGCAGCACTGTCCAGTCTTTCCCGCCAATTGTGTGGTTGGGAAAACAAGGCACCTGTACGGTTTCCCCGAAGCGACAGAGCTGTGGATGGTGGAGAATGGAAGATGGGATAAAGGACAGTGACTTCAGTGCAGCTTTACCTTCTTACGGTAATTAGAAAGTATAGATGCGTTAGTTCTAAACTTGGAAAGGATGCTCTAGCGAATCTTATACATGTCTAGCATATAAAATTGAACGTTTAGGACGCGTGTGTAATAAAAAGACGGAGCAAAGCTTCGCTAATAACCTGAATACGAAGCGCCAACACTGCAAGCAAAGCATGTGCAAAGCATGTTATCTCTATGAGAATTTTATAGCTTTCTCGCAATCGCGAGGGCCGTTTGACAGCCAAAAAAACCATAGTATTACCTCAATTAGAGCAGCCTTGGTACGGTTACACACCCATAGCATTTCTTAGGAATAAAGCAACCTTCACATGGTCTTTCTGAATACCATCCTCTTTTGTAACTCCACTCGAAACATCCACAACAGAGGGAGAAAGCACTGCAGCTGCCTCTGCCACATTCTCTGCATTCAGGCCACCAGCTAGAATCCAACCTCTTCTGCTCTCGCCAGCTGGCACTTTCAGATTGGTCCAATCGAATCGCTCTCCACTTTGGTGCGGATAACGAAGGGTCAAATGGAAGCATGCATGGGGTAGAGGAGTCAGGATAGACAACAGGGTGGGGGAAAAGAGAGAGGGGAGGAGGGATAGAGGATAAACAGTAAGAACTTATAAACCGCTATGCTATGTATGCTGAGTCAATTGGCCTCCCAAGAAGTAAGATAGGGAGAAACACCGGAAGTGAAGTTTGGTTTGAAAGAAGAATGGAGAAGGAGGAGAGGCACGGAGGGGAAAGCGGAGGACAGGAGATGAAAGACAAAGCTGCAGGTGAAAACGCGGAAAGATGAATGAACAAAGGGGACGATACAAACGAAGCAGACACGCGAGTGCAGCATAGGAGCGATCCAGAAGACGGAAATGCGTGCGCTTGACACAAGTCCAACTCTGAGTGCAGAACGTGAGGCGCTAGCCCCAACCAACCCAATCTAGCGTGCCAACTGGCCCAGATGTACCCACCTGCCCCCTTGTATGCCGTCGATGAGGATCCAGTCTGGTTGCGGCCGCACACACGAAGAGGAGGAGGAGGAGGAGGAGGAGGAGGAGGAAGTGGAGGACGGAGCGAGCGAGGAGGGCAGAGGGGTTTGCACAGCGCCGTGCTTGTCGGCGTGGAGCACAAAGACGGTGGACAGCCAGGGGGGAAGGTCAGCGAGGGATGCGCGCGCCACGTCTCCATGCAGCTGAGAGGGAGGGGAACAGGGAAGGTGGATGAGGGAAGGGGAGAAGAACAGGGTTTGCACGGCGCCGTGTTTGTGGGCGTGGAGCTGAGAGGGAGGTAGGAAAAAAGGGGGAACGGGGAAAGTGGGAAGAGGAGAGGTGAGAAGGCGGAGCGGGAGGGCAATGGGCGTTGTGAGCGGGAGGGCAATGGGTGTTGTGAGCGGGAGGGCAATGGGTGTTGTGAGCGGGAGGGCAATGGGTGTTGTGAGCGGGAGGGCAATGGGTGTTGTGAGCGGGAGGGCAATGGGTGTTGTGAGCGGGAGGGCAATGGGTGTTGTGAGCAGGAGGGCAATGGGTGTTGTGAGCAGGAAGGCCAGGTGACGGACTTTGTCAAAGGAGTTGTGGCTAGAAAAGGGAGGGGCTTGGGGAGACAGCACGGAGGGTTTTGGAGGGGGGTATGGGGTTGGAATTCAGGGGATTTCCTTGTGCTGTGGGCCGGAAAGGGGGAGAGATGCGTTTAGCAGGAGCAAGGCTTGTTGGCTCGGGTTATTATTGATCAACGGATCGCTATAGACAGACACCGCGACCGAAAGACCACGGGTTTCACCACGCCGCCGAAGCCACACCCGAAGCAACAGCCCCACCTGTGCGACGAACACTCCCGCCTCTCTACAAGCCGCTTCGATTTCCGCCGCGTTTTCGTCCACGAACACGCCCACGGGCACCGCACCGCCCGCCCTCGCGGCCGCCGCGACTCTCGCCGCCATGGGCAAGGGGATCGAGCGCTTCGCCTTGGGCCACAGGATCATGCCGACGAACGCGGTGCCATTCGCGGCGGCAAACGCGGCGTCCTCCTCGGAGGTTACCCCGCAGATCTTCGCCTTGGGCCGAGCGGAGGTGGCTGACGTGGCGGAGGCTGCTGACGTGGTGGGGTTTGCTGACGCGGTTGCTTTTGCTGAAGCAGAGATACCAATTGAAAGGTTGCCACGTGGCACTTGATACCGATTGGCGAGCCCAGCTGTGCGCGCATGATTCGTGAAATTTAGTGAGAACGAGGACCTAACGGATTGGAATCGGGCCGCGCCCAGGAAATGTGAACGGGAGGGAATAGCCACCGCGGAATGCGGGGAACAACCCATAGTGGGTATGAATGCTGAGATCGCAACTAACGAAGCCATTGCTGGATGCTTTATCAGGGAGCACAAGAAGACTATACCAAGGAGGTGCTGGTGATACTGTTAGTAAGTACTCCCCGTTAGCGCTGACACCCTCCTTCAATGCAGCGATCCTTACGCTAAGCTCACGACAGCAATCACCTCGCGGTTGTATGTTCCCTGCTGACCTCACTCGTACTTAGTGTACCGTACGGTACTAAAGAGTACTACAGTACCTTCAGGCGCGAGGAGGTACATGTGGCAAAATTAGCAGTCATTGTAGGCTTCTGCTAAAGATGACGGGGAACAACTATGACACGAGATCACCTGCTACACTTCATGTCACCTGAGGCGGACTCGACATTTGGAATACGCCCTCTCGGCAAACTTACTCCGTTCAAGTCTGAGGGCCAATCCAAAGTGTTTCCGGTTCGGCTCATGCGCTCGTGTCATTCCAACTTCCAGCTTCACTGAAGGTATCATCTGTTCTGACAGGTTTCATTGATTTGTTGTTACGGTTTAGTGCGGTGAATGGCTGGTTCGACTTGGGATGGGTTGGGGCAGGAGTTTCCGCAACCAGAGCCGAGTTTCTCCCACTTAGGGCTTCCTCGCTGTGAGCTTGCGGGAGATTTGCGACGCACAGAGCTTTGATGGTAACCGCAACACGGCTTTCTGTTACGTGCGCGGGAATGGCGTTTCCGCGCTCAACCTCCACGTGCTCCCGTGAATGCTCGATTTCCTCGCGCCGCCTCGAGCGGATCAAAGGCGACGCAAGTCAAATTCTGGCTTGCGTCGATCAATCAGCTCCTCGGGAATATCGTGAGCAATTCCCTTCGCGAGGGATCTCTTTTTTTCCCTCCCAGGATTATTTCACGTGATGTTACTACATCGTGACGAAAATCTCCTCTTCGGTCATTTCAGCGAACCTGGACTCAAGACTGCTCGGAAGTCTGATCTCGGTGGTCGGTGGTTTAGCAGCCTGCTGAGAATTACTAATTCGCGTAGTACGAGAAGCTGTGCGCAGCAAAGAGATGCCTCTGCGAGCAGAAGGTCGCCCAGACACAGTGGCATAGACACCCACTGAAGGGCTGCTATGCTAGTAGCAGAATCCCGCTGAGCGGAGGCCGTGACTCGCCCTGAGAATAATCCGTGGCGTTTTCTACCAGGTTTCGTGATCGCTGGTAGCGTTGCTGACAGGAATTACAAGAGATTTTGGAGAATTGTAAGAGCGAAAGAGCATCAGGAACCACTAGAGATTCCCCTTCCCCTTGTCACAATCTCGACAGCGCCACCACGCAAGTGTGCCTTGCAACTGCTGTGACTCTCAGGCCGTGTGTTGGAAAGTACACTGTCGGCACGCAGCATGGCTACTTCCACGTGGGTGACTCGGAATTCGTTCTTCGAGAATGGGCTTCACGAGTGGTACGCGTTAAGAGGAGGTAACGGCAAGTGCCGCCTGGTTGTGGCTACAGCAGATTGTATGGGCCATATCGGCCATAATCTCCGACCTCAGCTGCAGCAGCAGCAGCAGCAGCAGGATCACGAGCAAGTGGCACTAGTGGTGGGACGCACGGAGGCATGGCAGGGCATGGCGCAGGACATCCACTCGCATCTCACACCAAACCACACCTACAGTGCCACTGCTGACGTCAGCGTCAGAGACTCCGGTAAGGCAGCAGCACGAAGGGTGGCAGGGAGGGAGGCGGGAGGGGAGGAGAGAGGGGAGGCGGGAAGGCAGGCGGTGCCTGTGATTGTGACAGTGCGATGGGACTTCACAGAAGGCCCTCAATACGCCCAAGCGTGCAGGTGCGTCCTTATTTGTTCACCCGCCTGCAGATGTCAGTTCACACATCCGTGTGCATCAGGGTGCATCTGGGTGCATCTGGGTGCATCAGGGTGCATCTGGGTGCATCAGGGTGCATCAGGGTGCATCTGGGTGCATCTGGGTGCATCTGGGTGCATCTGGGTGCATCAGGGTGCATCAGGGTGCATCTGGGTGCATCTGGGTGCATCTGGGTGCATCTGGATGCATCTGGGTGCATCAGGGTGCATCTGGGTGCATCTGGGTGCATCAAGGTGCATCTGGGTGCATCTGGGTGCATCTGGGTGCATCTGGGTGCATCTGGGTGCATCAAGGTGCATCTGGGTGCATCTGGGTGCATCTGGGTGCATCAGGGTGCATCTGGGTGCATCAGGGTGCATCTGGGTGCATCAGGGTGCATCAGGGTGCATCTGGGTGCACCCTGCCTCACCATGTCCCACCCTACCTAGCCCGCAGCGCCATGATGAGGGTTGGCGAGTGGGTGAGTGTATCTGGATTGTCCACCCTGGCCTGAGCAATAGCCACCCACCATATGCCACTTACGGCTCACCCACCATGTGCACCGTGACTCACCACATGTCACCGTGACCTGAGCATGAGCCATGATCACTTCCTCCCTGGCAGGGCCCTGGTGAGGGAGGGAACGTGGGTTAGACTGCATGGCGAGTTCACTGCTCCGCACCGCATCCCCCCCAAAGTGAGTCAACGGGAGGAAAGGAGGTCCGCATTTCAAGCGCGTAGGAGGATTGGGAAAAGAACTGCGATGGTTGAACTCTGTTGGTCTTCATCGCCTTCACTCTCAGCACACTGCGCAGCAGCACATTAGCTCTCCTGAATTTCGCCCGTTCCGATTCCTTATTCACTTCTGCCTCCCTCTCTACCTTCCCTCCCTTACCCCCTCCCTCCCGTGTCTCATCTTCATCCCATTTATCATGCCCTTCCCTCGTTGTTAACATCAGGTAACAGCCTATATCGAGGGCCCTCCTCCCACATTCGACCTCCTTATTAGCTGCTTCGCTATAGTCTCTGCATCCTACCCACAACCCACTTTCCCCCCTCTTCCGCCTACTCTCAGCTCTACTGCTGCTGCTGCTGCTGCTGATGGTGCCAACACACCCCTCCCTGTTCCTCCTCTTGGTGCTCCTAAGGCAGCAGCATCAGCAGCACCACCACCATGCTCTACTCTCCCTCCTCTCCGCCCTCCCTCCTCACCCCGCCCCAACCTCCTTATCAATGGTGGTTTTGCCCTCCGCACTGCCAGCTGGCGGCCCATGGGTGGCTGTGAGACGCTGACGTGGCACCCGCCCTGCCCCTGGGGCTCCCCCATTGGCCCTCCTGCAGAGTCCTCCTCCCTGCCTGCATCTCACCCTTGCACCGTGTTTGATAGGAAGCAGATGCATCTGCACGCACAGTGGCAGCAGCAGCAGCAGCAGCAGCAACTGGAGCAGCAACTGCCTGCATCCATGCCTGCTTCCTCCACCCCTTTAGCGGGGCCCACTGGTGCCTATTTGGAGGTGACAGGTAGGACTGCCACGTGGCATGGGCCAGCTCAGGACATGGCTGCAGCCAATCACAACCCTCTCAGCAACACTGCTGCTACTGCATCCACGTGTAGTGATGGCGTTGCTGACGGTGGGCCGATTCGTCTGTTTGTGACGTATGCTGTGAGCGCGTGGGTGCGGGTGGGGAGGGACAGACGGCAAAAAATGCTCAAGGGTACCTTGTCCCTTTATGGAAGAAAAGAGGAGGGAGAGTGCGTGGGAGGAGAAACAGGAGCAAAAGAAAGGGTGGGAGTGGAAGGAAGAGTGGGGTCACATGAAGTGAATATTGCGCTGGGAGTGGATGGTGGGTGGGTGAATGCCGGGTCGGTGGAAGCTTCTGGGAAGGAGTGGGTGCGATGCTGGGGGTCGTTTCGCTTGGAGAAGCAGTACCAGCAGGCGGTGCTGTACGTGCAGGGCCCGCCGCCAGGTGTCAGCATCCTATTGGCCGACATGCGTGTGGTACCTGTGGAGTGGCGGGAGAGGGTGCCGTGGCTGCGACTGCAAGCAGACAGGGTGAGTTGCAGTTGCGGTGTGGTGTAGTGCGGTGGGGTGCAATGGGGTGTGTTGAATCGATGGCGTGCTGAGATGTGGGTTGGCGTATGAGGGATATCAGCAAAGGTGCAGGGGGGAGGCACCAGATGTCGTATTTGAAACAGTGTAATCTCTCCCCGAAGAGTAATCCATTTCCACTGCACCCACAAGCTGTTCCCCCTACTCCTGTGCCACCATCGGGAGTTCTTATCCCTAGTCGATTCCCCGCCCCTGTGCCTTTCTCTCTCCAAACCCTCCCACCCACCCCCCCATCACTCACTCTCTCCCCAACCAGGTCCGCAAGGGCTCTCTCCATCTGCGTCTTCTCGATGCTGCCGGCCAGCCAATCCCCTCCGCCCATGTGTCGGCCAACCAGACGCGCCGCTCCTTCCCCCTGGGGTGCTGCGTGAACGCCAGAGACCTGCTGGGGAGCCCTCGGTACCAGTCAGCGTTCCTGAGATGGTTCACCTGGGGCGTGTGTGAGAACGAGATGAAGTGGACGAGTGTGGAGGCCAGGCGGGGAGACGAGGACTGGAGGGATGCTGATGCCATGGTTGCGTGGATGCAGGTGGGTGCAGGTGGGTGTGGTTGGGGATAGTGATGTAGGGATTACAGGGATGCCGATAGCACGGTGGCGAGGATGCAGGTGGGATGCAGGTGGATGCAGGTGGGATGCAGGTGGGTGCAGGTGGGTGCGGTGAGATCATTGGAGTGATGGCCAAGAGTGATTCTTTCGGTTTCACAGGTTTTTTTCCTCTTGACTCGTGCACATTGTTCCATCCCTGTGTGAGTGCATGTGCTCTGCACCCGTTGACGTGGGCCTCCTACTCTCCTGTGCCTGTATGTGCATGCAGGCGCATGGAGTGGCAATGAGGGCCCACTGTCTTTTTTGGGACAACATGCGGCCAAATTGGGTGGAAGGGCTTTCGTTGAAGGACCTCAAAAGTGAGCGGCGAGCCTCTCATGTTGGGTGGAAGGTCTATCGTTCACCCAAGGGCTCTTGTTCTATCAGGCTTTAAGTCGTGCTGTTGTGCTCTATGAGGCCAGTCGGACTTGCTTCACGGTTCTGCACCATATGCGACAGCATTCGTCCGCATCGTTTCTTCAGCCCAGCTTCATCTGCCCCCTCCTCTGACGCAGGCGTCACCTTCGCATCGTTTTCCCTCTCCCCCCCCCCTTCCTTCCTCCCTCCTTCACAGATGCCTCAGACCATCAAATCACGCCCCTCCTCTCCCGCTACTGCATCATTGTTGCTTTCTCATAGCCAAAGCAACAACAAGATGCTCCTGGAGACTCCGTCCACTCCCGATGCTGCTGTTTCACTCCCCCCCGCCTCTTCTCCTCCTTCCACACCAATTCCACAGAAGCCATAGACCATCGCATCACCTCTCTTCTCTCCCGCTACCATGCCTGTTTCCCCACCTGACGGCTTCTTCCACGCCTGTTTCATTGTGGCCCAGCCACCATCCCATGTCTTTCCCTCCCTCCTTCCCTCCCTCCTTCCCTCCCTCCTTCCCTCCCTCCTTCCCTCCCTCCTTCCCTCCCTGCCTTTTTCCCTCAAGCGGATGCCATTGACCACCGGGTAGCATCGTTCCTCACCCACTACCCCTCTTGGTTTTTCTCACATGGATGTCAACAACGAGATGCCCCATGGTGGGTACTTCCACTCGCCCTGTGGCCCACCCAGCATCCTCTGTGTCCCTCTCCGTCCCTCCTTCCCTCCGCCCCTTGTTCCCCGGACACAGAAGCCATTGACCATCACATCGCATCGCTGCTCACCCGCTACCCCACCTCCTGTTTTTCTCACATGGATGTCAACAACGAGATGCTACATGGGGGGTACTTCCACTCGCACTGTGGCCCGTCCACCATCGTCCGAATGTTTCAGTTTGCCGCCCAGGTTGACCCCTCTCTTGTCCTTTTCCTCAACGAGTATCACGTGGAGGACGGCGAGGATCACAAGAGCCGCCCGGAGAAATACGCGCAGTTCGCCCGCCAGCTCATCGCCAGCGGGGCGCCAGTTGGCGGGCTGGGGACGCAGTGCCACATCAGCGCGCCAGTTGGCGCACACATGAGGCATGCCTGGAGCATCCTGGCGGATGTAGGGTTACCAGTTTGGGTTACGGAGTTAGATGTGAGTTCTGAAGACGAACGGGTGAGAGCGGACGATTTGGAGATTTGTCTCAGGGAGGCGTTTGCACATGGGGGAGTGGAAGGGGTGATGCTATGGGGCTTCTGGGAAGGTTCCGGCCCGGAGCAACCGTCTATGTCGAGGAAAGATGCACACTTGGTGCGTTCTGATTGGTCGTTGACGGAAGCGGGGGGGAGATTGGATCTGCTGCTGGAGGAATGGACAACAAGGGGGGTTGAGGGGAGGACGGATGAGGAGGGGGGGGTTGTGATAGAGGGGTATGGGGGGGAGTATGAGGTAGTGGTGAGACATGGAGGGGAGGAGTGGAAGAAAGTTGTAGAAGTGATGCCACGAAAAGCAAGCTCCCTTGTTTGGAGGCTTGGAGAAAGGCAGGAGGAGGGCTGATACCGTATCTCTTGTTTCAGCTTGCATGTACAGTACAACCGGTAGTAGACCGCTTCATAAATAAGGTTTCATCGAAGAACAGGAGTAGCATCGGCTTGTATGCATCTACTGGGAGCTGGAAGAATGGCCCGAGCACAACTCATTCTAGCAACTAGACCGGGGCACAAGCCGAGCAGAAGCGGCACGTCTCGAGCCAGCTGGCCTGATGCCATTGCCTGCCCGGCTGGAGGCTCGTGTAAATGGGCCGAGCAGGGGACTGGCTTCTGACAAGCTGATGGCCCATGCGCTTAGCATGAATTTCATTGTAGTCGCACCCTGACTAAACCCCACGCATATCCGTGACACCAACTCGCTGATTCTTTCATTAGGGATTTGTTTAGGCAGCACCCTTCCAATACAGCCACTTGCAATACTACCTATCTATATCCGCGCATCACTATAATCACACCGCTATCCCTTACTAGCACATTGGGCCAGGTATGGCTGGAGTATAGGGCACAGGCCATGGGATGTGGAGCATGGGGCATGGAACATGGGGCATGAGGCATGGTGCATGGGGCATGAGGCATGAGGCATGGGGCATGAGGCATGGGGCATGGGGCATGGGGCATGGGGCATGGAGAACGGGGCATGGACCATGGAGCATGGATGGGGCATGGGGTATGGGGCATGGGGCATGAGGCATGGATCATGGGGCATGAGTCATGGGGCATGGGGCTTGGAGAATGGACCATGGACCATGGGGCATGGGGCATGGGGCATGAGTCATGGGGCATGGGGCATGGGGCATGGGGCTTGGAGAATGGACCATGGACCATGGGGCATGGGGCATGGGGCATGGGTCACAGGCAAAGAGCATGAGGTGGTCACAGTCACATATACAATGTCGACTTAGAAGACGGGCAGCAAATATCTAGCCCACACATTGCACGATATGAATGCAATGCACACGGCAGCGAAGAAAATGTAAGCCTAGAGCACCTGCGCACTGGCTGCAGAGACAGCCGGCATCGTCGCGGCAAATTCACCGCGTCTCCGACGAGACAGTGGCCACTGGCTTTGGCGAGTCAGCCCCTTGCTTGATGTCTCGGGCATGATGTCTCGGGCATGAGGTCCCGGACATAATGTCTCGGGCATGAGGTCCCAGGCATGAGGTCTTGGGCATGAGGTCTTGGGCATGAGGTCCCTGGCATGAGGTCCCGGGCATGAGGTCCCAGGCATGAGGTCCCCAGCATGAGGTCCCGGGCATGAGGTCCCGGGCATGAGGTCTTGGGCATGAGGTCTTGGGCATGAGGTCTTGGGCATGAGGTCTTGGGCATGAGGTCTTGGGCATGAGGTCTTGGGCTGGGGGATGCGTCGGATCATTGAAAGCTAAATGGAGGCGACCCATCCCAGTCGTCCGTCAGCATCTCCTGCACCACGCGCCGTCGTGCCCGCCCGCCCATTCTCATGATGTCCTGCGCTATGGCCGACCGCGATGGCATCACGCCAGGGCGGGTGCACTCGGGGTTCAATAAGACCATCAGGCGGTGGAACTGCGGCAACAAGGGCCGGGGGCGGGGGGGGGGGCAGCCAAGAGCAAAGCGGGAGTTTGAGAGGCGCAAGAGCAGAAGTGGAGCATCATAGGATGGAAGGGCGGCTGACGAGGAGTCATTGTAGAGAATTCTAAAAAAAAATCTCAAAAAGAGAATTCTAAAAGAAACAGAAGTGGATTGTCATAGGATGGGTGGACGATCCGAGGGCGGCTAGCGAGTGGAGGACCCAACACGCAGGCCTCAGAGAGCGGTTTGGGGGAGCTCACCGCGGGGCGGTCCACAAAGCTGGTGGGCAGCTGGGCATCGGCGACAAACGCTGCCAGGGAGTGCCGCAAGCCCTCCTCCCACTCCGCCAGGCCGTGTGGCCCACCCTCGTGCCCACGCTCCGACGAGGTGTCGGTGGTGCCGACCCTCCCAGAGGCCAGCCTGGCAGCCGGCCCTCTGGGCTCACTCCTAGAGACCAGGCTGGCAGCTGGCCCTGTGGGCTGACTCCTAGAAGGCTGCCCGGGTGGCCGGGGGGTCAGCCTCGAGGGCTGTCCTGCTGGGCGACTGGGGCCAGCAGCACCCGCTTCCCCCCGCCTGCGCCTCTTGCCCCGCCCGCCCTCCCCACTTTCCCACCCATCCGCCTCCTCATCGCCCTCCTCCTCGTCCTCGTCTTCCTCTTGCCCCATCTCGTACTCCTCCTCGCTCCCATCCTCTGAACCTAAACTGTCGCCCCCCTCCTCACACTCCTCCGCGCCCCCCTCCTCATACTCCTCCGCGTCTCCCTCCTCATACTCCTCCCAGTCCCCCGCCTCACTCGCATCCTTCCCCCCCATCTCCGCCCTACACCGTCCACTGCTGCCGTGCGTGCCACTAAAGCCGAGCAGAGGAGAGCCCACGCTGGAGCGGCAAGCAGGGACGTCCGGTTCGTGCTGGAGCGGCATGCCGGGGGATGCCCCACCCGTGGAATCCGGCCCCGCAGTGGCAGCAGCGGCGGCACTGGGGAATGCCTTAGCCGAGTCCATCGCCTCAACCGCGCCCTGTGCCACCCCAGTGGCAGCAGCGCTGCGGCCCGCCCCCCCAGTGGCGGCAGCAGCAGCACGGGGGATTGTTTCAGCGGAGTCCATCGCCTCAACCGCGCGCTCTGCCCCCCCAGCAGCGGCACTGGGGAATGCGTGAGCGCAGTCCACCGCGTCCACCGCGCCCTCTGCCTCTCCAGGGGCGGCAGTGCTGCGCGCCAGTGGCCCCCGCCCCTCCGTTGCCTCGTTCTGCCGACCGCCACGCCCGCGGCGGCCCCGTCCGCGCCCTTTCGTCGCAGCACCCCCTCCCCCTCGCTTGGGAGCCATGACGCTCAGAGGAGTCTTCGTGACGTTCAGCCGGTGAAACGGACGACCCTAACGACCCTAACGACCCTAACGACCCTAACGACCCTAACGACCCTAACGACCCTAACGACCCTAACGACCCTAACGACCCTAACGACCCTAACGACCCTAACGACCCTAACGACCCTAACGACCCTAACGACCCTAACGACCCTAACGACCCTAACGACCCTAACGACCCTAACGACCCTAACGACCCTAACGACCCTAACGACCCTAACGACCGTACCGCGATGTGGGATGCGGGGAGGCGGCGGCGGGGCAACCCTGAGGCGGCGATGGGCGTAGCGGCGAAGCCCTAATGGGTAAAGCGAAGTCGATCGGCGGCACTAAACCGTGGCGCTAAACCTTCGCCTATCGCTAAACCATTCAGGCGAAGGCTCTTAATGGTCCCCGTAGTGGGGATGAGGGAAACCCTTGACGTTGCTTCACGGCTATGCGATGGGCTTGTGCGGCGTGCCGCTTCGGGGAAGCCGCAGAAGTGATCGAGCGATTTCGCGTGTGGGCGATTTAGGGAAGCTTCACGTCGGACTGCGCAAATTTGCGTAAAAATGGCATTTTACCCGATCGCGCATTGGTTTTGGTGTCATAGGCGAGGGGGCGTCGCAAGGGAGACTGCTAGAAATTAGTCCTAGGTAAGTTTGCTTATGTGCATATCAGATCAGCTAACGACATTCGTCTAGTTTCCAACCGGCGCGACAGCCGACGAGCCGAGACCCCGCTCGAGTCGAGTCACGAGCCGGCCCGGCTCGTCAATTCCCAGACCTACAGTACGAGCGCGGCTCGCTTATCCGCTTTCTCTCCAGAAGCACTCGTGCCTGCTTTTGAGTCGACTCAAAAGCGCACTCGTGCCTGATTCACCGTCAACCTTCCCGTCCTCGCTTGCTCGCCTTGGCTCCTGAACGACATCGCTTAGCTAGTACTGAAGACCATTTAGTGAAAATCGCCTGAAGTGCCGACCAACTGGCCGTCGTGCACTTAGTTCGGGCATCACCACGACGTGCCTCGTCGCGTCGACAAGTCGGAATCTAGCTCGCGCCGGGTGCGACCCGCACCCCTCGATCCGCGCACCCGCGCACCGCTCTAGCCGCGCGCTGCTCTAGCCGCGCAGCATTCCTTGAGGAGTTCCCAGTGCGAGCAACTGCAGCACCGCAGCATTGCCCGTCACGCCTGCCGGCCCTCACAGCATTGCCCGTCACGCCTGCCGGCCCTCACAGCATTGCCCGTCACACCTGCCGGCCCTCTCCCCGGCGCCCGTCTCCGCCCACAGCCGCATTGCCCCTCACGCCCCGCGTCTGCCGCCTGTGGAGTGCTTCCCCCTCCCGTCACTCGCTCAGCCCGACGCCCTGTTCACGCTCGCGCCTTCTTGCCCCTGTATCGCACTCGCAGTTGCCCTCCTCCCTGATTCCGCGCCCCTAGGCTCGCCACCATGCCTACTCGCCCTAGGTCCCTTCCAACCCCCCCTTCCAACCCCCCTTCCCTTCCAACCCCCCCTTCCCTTCCAACCCCCCCTTCCCTTCCCTTCCCTTCCAACCCCCCCTCCCTTCCCTTCCCTTCCAACCCCCCTCCCTTCCCTTCCCTTCCAACCCCCCCTCCCTTCCCTTCCCTTCCCTTCCAACCCCCCTCCCTTCCCTTCCCTTCCCTTCCAACCCCCCCTTCCCCCTTCCCTTCCCTTCCAACCCCCCCTTCCCTTCCCTTCCCTTCCAACCCCCCCTTCCCCCTTCCCTTCCCTTCCAACCCCCCCTTCCAACCCCCCCTTCCAATCCCCCCTTTGGTCACAAGGCAGCTGCCACGTGTCGGAGCAGCACTGGAGGCGCGCCTCAGAAGCCATCTCACAGAGGAGCCATCCGCTCAGTAGAAGGCACCTGGTCGGTCGCGGCCGGCAAACGCACAGCGGATGGCTAGTAGTGAGTTGGTGGGGTGGGGAGAGAAGGGAAGAAAGATGCTGCTGGCAGGGCGCTTTACCAACCACCCCCCCTGTCAACCACCCCCCCTGTCAACCACTGCCCCTGTCAACCACTGCCCCTGTCAACCACTGCCCCTGTCAACCACCCCCCCTGTCAACCACCGCCCCTGTCAACCACCGCCCCTGTCAACCACCGCCCCTGTCAACCACCGCCCCTGTCAACCACCGCCCCTGTCAACCACCGCCCCTGTCAACCACCGCCCCTGTCAACCACCACCCCTGTCAACCACCGCCCCTGTCAACCACCCCCCTTCAACCGGCCCTTGTGAAGTACCGCCCCTGTGAAGCACCCCTGGACATTCTCTCCGCTCTTGTGCTGTCTCTCCATGCCGCATGCCATTCATCCCCGCATCCTCGTGTCCCCGCATCCTCGTATCCCCGCATCCTCGTGTCCCCGCATCCTCGTGTCCCCGCATCTCCCCTTCACCATTGCCCGTCGCCCGTCAACCCGCGCCTCAGGATTGCCGCATCACCGCTCTGCACACCTTGCTCTCCCTCCTCCCTCTTATGACCACCACAGTGCTGCCTCGCTTCCCCACCTCGCCCCCCCACCTCGGGATCCCCTAGAGGCTTCTCGAGGCTTTTTCCTTCGCGTTGTGCATTCCCTGCTTTCCCTTTCGATAGGAGTCTAGTTTTGAGGCGCCTCACAACTAGACTCCTATCCGCGCTTTTTCCTTCGCGTTGTGCATCCCCTGCATTCCCTTTCCCACCTCCACCTCCTCCCCCTCACCCTACAGTGCTTGCTGGTTTCCCCACCACCCCCATCAACCCGCACCTCGGGATCCCCCCCTCGGGAGTACCGCCGGGCTCTGCTCTGCTGCTCTGTGATGACGTGGCAGCAGAAGGAAGCTTCCTGCTGCTGCACCTGCTGAAGTCACACCTGCAGGGGCAGCTCGGGGGGAAAGGGGGAGGGTTGGGGGGGGGTCAGGGGGAAGCATACGGGGACCGGCAGGGACAGGGGGGAGGGTTGGGGGAGAGGAAGGGGGGAGGGTGTGGGGGGGAGGAGCATGAGGGGGGAACAGGGGGGACGGAGGGGAGTGTGTGCGGACGGTTTGTTTTGTCACTCTCGCCCACTCGCCCTCCCATTACAGTCACATTGCAAGGAGAATGGTGAGTGTGTTTTAGTCACGCGGGGGGGGGGGGGGGGGCACAAAGGAGACGGGGAGGGGAGGGGTGTGCGCGGAATGACAGAAGGCACCAGCTTAGGTGCAGACAGGGTGTCTTACTGCGCTTGCACACAGCCCCTCCCGCTACAGTCACGTTTCACGGAGAATGGTGAGGAGGGGTAACATAGTCACATAGTCACATCGTCAGATATTTGGTGCCCCATCTCTCACCGCTGCAATGTTTCTCATTCCGATCCACCTCTCACTCCGCTTCCCCCTTTCTCAAATTCGCGTGTCCCCCTCTTCTCTCCCCTCCCCTCCTCTCCTCTCCTCTCCTCTCCTCTCCCCTCCCCTCCTCTCCCCTCCCCTCCTCTCCCCTCCCCTCCTCTCCCCTCCCCTCCTCTCCCCTCCGCAATTCTCCTCTCCTCTCCCCCCCCACCCCTCCCCCCCCCCTATTCCCTACCAGGGCATTCACTTCCCTGAGCTCAGCAGGCAGCATCACCACTTGTCTCAATCTCACTCGTGTCTTGTCAGCATGCCTGCAAAGCCTCCCCTCACTGCCCCCACTTCCCCCCTCTTCCCTCCTCTCTCCCCCTCTCCCCCCCTCTCCCCCCCTCTCCCCCCTCTTCCCTCCTCTCTCCCCCTCTCCCCCCTTCCCCCCCTCGTCCCTCCTCTTCACTCCACTCCCTGCCAGGGCCTTCACTTCTCTGACCTCTGCAGGCAGCACCGCCTAGCCATCATTGACGGCCAACAGGAGAGGCAGCACAAGCACCAGCACCAGCAACAACAAAATGAACAGCACCAGCCGGGAGTGCACCACTTTTCTCCTCCTGTCCCCTTCCTACCTCTCGCCCAACCTCCCTCCCCGGTATCACATCTCCCCTCCCATCCCTCTCCCGCCACCAACCCCCTCCGAGCCCTCTACGCCACCATCTGCACTGCAGTCAGGTCCCTTGGCTGCCCCCCCTCCTCGCACCCTGCTCCCACTGCCACTGCCACTGCCACTGCCACTGCCGCACCTCAACCCGCTGCTTCTCCTCCTCCCCCTCCTCTTGCTGCTGCTGCTGCCACGTCACCATCACCGTCTGGCGCTGCTGACGTGTCGCTCCGAGCGCGGTGCGGTGGCCAGCTGTGCATTGTGATTGATGACGTGTCGCTGCTGGAGACATGCGCGGGCGGCGATTCTCGGCTAGTTATGGACTTTCTCTCAGCTTGCCGTGGCCTGTGCACTAAGTACCATGTAAGTGCGGCACTTGTCATGTGAACATAGCCAGTACCCTGTAAGCACTCTTAGTGTGTTACCTTAGTGTTTTCCTCCTCTTTCTCCCACTCCTCGTGAACGCTTCCTTGGCACACGTGACACGCCTCTTGTTCCAACTGCGTCCGTCCTTTCTCCCCCACTTCCTTCCAGAGAGCTTCTCTCGTCCTGCTCACACATGCAGCCGTCCATCCCACCACCTTCACCTTCCCCCTGCCGCCTCCCCACGCACCGCCCCTCCCCCTTACCACTGCCTCCTCCCCCGTCGCCTCGCCTCCCCTGCTGCCGTGCCTGCTGCACCTGTCGGACGTGGTTGTGCTGCTGAGGCCGCTAACGTCAGGCCACGCCTCTGACGTCCACGGGCAGGTAAGGTCCTCAAACGGGCAGGTAAGGTCATCATACGGGCAGGATCTCAAACGGGCAGGTAAAGTCATCAAACGGGCAGGTATGGTCCTCAAACGGGCAGGTATGGTCCTCAACTGGGCAGGTGCTCAAACGGGCAGTTAAGGTCCTCAATGGCAGGTCCTCAGGCGGGCAGGTCCTCCGGCGTGGTTGTGGTGCTGAGACCGCCAACGTCAGGCCATGCCTCTGACATCCATGAACAGGTGAGAATCTCCTTTAAGCAGGTGGATACTATGGCTGGTTTGAGGCGCCTCAAAACCGGGTGAGTACCTGTCGTCCTCGTCTTGTCTGGGCGCTCTCATCCCACGCCCTCACGTTCTACTCTACCGGCTGCACCCATCTGATGTGGATTTGTTGGCGACCCCCCTACCGTCCGGCCATGTTTCAGAGAACGGACAGGTAAGATCCACGGGCAGATATGAAACATTGACGGGCAGGTGAAGCTGCTCATGGCTTGTGAAACTCTGCCCCAGTTCTCCTCTGCTGCCTTTCATCGCCTTCCTTCCATTGTGCTTGTGCTGCGGAGACCTCTTGACTTAAAGCAATCCTTCATATGTTCACGGGCAGACAAGATTGTTTGGGCAGACCAAGTCAGTCCATGGGCAGGTGTAGTGCAGCTCATGCCATATAATCTAGCCCTTGGGATCATCCTCCCTCTGGTGAAGTCTCCTCCTAATTCTCCTCCTTTTCCTCTGTCCTTCTCCTGTCATGCTGCCATTGTCCTTCACATCTCACACACTTGCTGCTGCAAGGACCACCATCACACGATCTTGAGCTAAATGGCATCAGCAGCAGCAGCAGCAGTGCTGCCGGTGAGTCAGTGCCAGTGACTCCATTCTCTCCAAATGCGCTCAACACATCCCCTTTCTTCCACCTCTCCCTGCTCTTTCTCTCCCTTACTCCAGGCGGACATCACCCATCTCACGCCCGCACTCCTCCAAGGGCCACCATCACACCATCTTGAGAGCAATCCCATGAACCCCAGTGACACCCTCCGATATAGTCACGGGCAGCATAGGTACACCCAGCCTCCGTGCCAGCAGCAGCACCTGGTGTATCAGGTTCAAGATTCTGGCGCCGTGTTTGCCGCCACTTAGTGGGACTGATCTGGAGTTCTAGTGTTCTTAAAAGTGTACTGCCATTCACCAGTACTGCACAGCTGCACCTGGTATACCAGATTCAAGATTCTGGTGCCGTGTAAGGGTGTTGTCAGCCACCACTACCGGCAGCAGACGCAGCCACTTGCATGTAAGAGCATGTTCGTAGGATCCCTTATCAAGCAAGCCTCTTGACAGCCTCTGGTTCTGCCATGCTGAACCGCACTGAACAGTATTGCCTGCATCTGATAAGAAGCACTTTCCATGAGAGGTGCAGGAACACGCCCTAAGGACTGCCTAGCATGTCTAAGGGTGCTACAGAACCCACCAGCTTTGTAGAAAACAAGTAATGTCTAGTATCTAAGGCTGCATTTTCACAATGAATGGTGTGGGTGGGAAGATATAGCAAAACCAGAGGTATTTTTAGCCGTGACATGTTATGGTTAGGAAATGATATCGAAGGGTGGCCAAATGTGGCTTCGCAAAAGTTCAAGAGTACGCGATGCAGTACAGCTTGGAAGTACAGTATTCCCACTTGGAGCGAGTCCCCCAGTCGTCGTGCATTCTTGAATCACGACACGATCACGCCCGCCCAGGGTTTGTGGGTCCCTCCCTCTTGATCTTTGCGTCACGAAGTTTGTGATCACCAATCAGCGCTCGATCAGTTCTCAACTCTGTAACTACTAACCATTGGATTAGCGGTGCTCCAAGCCAAGCGCATCAATCCAATGGTGACCCGACTACGAGTCCGAGAATCTCAAGCACACCCCATTCCGCTCTCCCGTAGTCCGAAATTCACGAGCTTCGTAACCACGGTTGCTGAACTGTTGGAATCCGAATTGCCGAATTCCTAGATTCTTCGTCCAATGGCTGCCGTCGCGCTGCTGGTTTCGCCAGCAGTCGTTCGCCTAGGCGGAAGCTCCAGCGACGTGCCGTTCCCTCAGGCTCAGAAGCCGCGCACTTACGTCTTCATTGTCAACCCTGAAGGTAGCACCCTCACTCACCAGTCGTTCGCCTAGTAGGCGGGATCTCCAAAGACCTTCCCGCAGAAGGCTCCTTCTTACGTCTTCAGGGTCAACCCTAATGGTAGCAGTCTCACCTCAGTAGGCTGTCGTCACCGAGGAGGATCTTGAAATTTGAAATATCTAGGGATGCAGGTAGAGGATTCACGGACATTCTAAACCAGATTCATGCTTTGACGAGCCGAGTCACATTTTTTTGGGCAATTGTTTGAGCTTCGAGCATGATTCGCGCAAGATGCGCGCAAAACGAGCATGATTCTTTGGCGATTTTCTCGCCATTTTTCGCTCGTTGCCAGGCGGCGGAAGTCGCAAGACGCTGAAGATGCGTTGTGAGACTGCTCGAAGCTCAATTGGAAGCTCGAAGCTCGTACTTCTGGTGAAATCCGCTGAATTCGACAATGCTTCTTGCTTCTGTTTTGCAGGCGGTAGCGGCAAGACGCTCAAGAGATGGAAGGCGATGAAGCCACTGCTGCAGAGGTCTCTGGGTGAAGAAGTCACTGTGAGTCCTGCACGGTGCAGGCTCGTGTGATATTAACCTTTCTTGAGACGTCTCAAAAAACTATGTTAAAATCACACAGATGAAGCCACTGCTGGAGAGGTCTCTGGGCGAAGAAGTCACGGTGAGTCCTGCACGGTGCAGGCTGCACCGACCTAGTGAGGTACTAGGGCTCGAACGTAAGGAAGGAGCAAGAGCCATCTCCGATACCGTTTCCGTCTTTTTTACCGTCTTGCTGGCCCAGGCCTGCTTAACCACATCCACGTTTGCGTCTACCCGTCATCAACTAATCGACTAACTAGCCCTTCGCATGCTTGTCTATGTCTCTGTTATCATGCTCCACCCATATACCACTCTGCATGGCTGTGTGAGCAGGTGCGTGAAGCACTCACAGAGTACCCCTTCCACGCTGCTGAGCTGGCGAGAGAGGTAAGTGGCAAGAAAGGTGGGTGAGCTGGCAAGGAAGGTGAGTGAGCTGTACGAATGAAAACCCGACAGCATTGTTTCCACTGCGCGCCAAATCTTCTGTTCTTGGACACATGCCGCTTGTTGTTGCCTGCTGCGGTATTTTTTTACACAACTCAAAATTTGCCTGCGCTTTTATGTTCCCCTTTCTATAACCGCCATTCCTGCCCCCCCCCTTCCCACGTCCCAAGGCGGCGGAGCAGGGGGCGGATGCAGTGGTGGTGACTGTGGGGGGAGAGATCGGCACATTGCAGGAGGAATAGATCGAGGGAGGGATCAATGGTGCTGCAGCCACCCCCCTCCCCCCCTCTAGCCGTCCTCTCTTCAACCACCCGTTCTGATTCTGCTTCTCCACCGTTGAATGCCCAGGCAGGGGATCAGGGGGCAGATGCGGTGGCGGGTGTGGGGGGGGATGGCACATTGCATGAGGTACGCACAGGCGCCAATGGTACAAGCAACCACTCCCCCCTAACCATCATCAGTTCAACCGTTCCAACCTGCCGTCCTACCTAACCCAGGCAGTGGAGCAGGGGGCGGGCGCAGTGGTGGCGCCAAGTACAGAGGGATCAATGGCACAATCGCTCTCCCTTTAACCATAACCCCTTTCTACTATCACCTTTTCTGTCTTCCCGCCATACCCAGGCAGTGGAGCAGGGGGCAGATGTGGTGGTGGGTGTGGGAGGAGATGGTACCTTGACAGAGGGATCGGTGGACCGTTTGAGCCTTTCCATCCTGCCTCAGTGTATGCCATTTGTACCCATTATAAGGTTACACAACCACTCTCTCTCTCTAACCATCCTCAGTTCAGCCTTTCCATCCTGCCTTCCTACCTAACCCAGGCAGTGGAGCAGGGGGCGGATGCAGTGGTGGCTGTGGGGGGGGATGGCACATTGCACGAGGTGACGTGATTTTAAGGGGGGAGATGAATGACACGGGGAATGGGGGTAGATGGTGCATGGCATGAGGTTATGTGACTGTAAGGAGCTGACGAGGAGGGTAGTTCATGGCGTAGTAGTGTGACAGTGTGACTGTGCAAAGCTGGGTGGGTGGGGTTGTGGGGTTGTGGGTGGGTGGGTGGAGAAGGAAAAGGTGGCGAAGGAGTGCAGTAAGGCAGGTGATTCTGGCAGTGCAGTTGACTTACGTCGATGACTTCAAAGTGACGTCATCGCAGTGCTGCCTCACTTTGGGTCCCAAAAGTGGAACTTGTGATGTCATTGTGGGAGCGCAACACAGGGTATATACGGCACAGAGAGATTGTGAAATCCTGCGGGCGGGGGAGGGAAAGGGGAGAGGAAAGCGTACATGTTGTTGTGGCTGGATGTGGGTACGGAAGGCCCTTACCAGCTGCTGTATGTGCCGTCTTTCTTTGCGCCTCACCTGTCGGCTGGCAGGTCGTCAACGGTTTTTTCTCCAACGGGCAGCCCGTGATTCCTCGGGCAGCTCTTGTGCGGCAGGAGGGGGCGGAGCAGCAGCGGGGTAGTGAGGGAGAAGAGCAGCAGTCAGAGGCGGGCAGAGAGTGTTCAGACGATGATAAACCACGTGGCACGGAACGAAACGGCTGTGAAGGGACTCATGCTGTTTCCAGAAGACCAGCGCTTGGGGTATGCAGATGCAGAAGGACTTTCTTGCGGTACAGACAAGTTATTATGTAGAGTAGATTGTGTGGTACAGCTTATGTAGCACATTGCCCCACCATCTCTCCCTACCTTTCACGGTGGGGAGTAGCACCACCTCTCCCCCTCACTCCTCATGAATTTTTCTTCGCATTTCTTTATTTTATCTTTTCCACCCACCTCTGTCAACCGTCCTTGCTTGCAGGTGATTCCTCTCGGAACCGGCTCTGATTTCGCCCGAACGTTTGGCTGGTCAGTGCACACTGCACACTGCACACTGCACAATGCACACTGCACACTGCACAGCGCTTAAGAATCGGTGCTCAGGGGTTTTGGCCACCGCCTGCCTCTTTGCTCCACCAGCTATTTGCTCTTTCACCTCTACCTTGTCTGAAGGCCCTTTGCTTGAAAGCCTACCCCCTGCCCCGTGCCCCCCTCCCCCCTCCCCCTCCCTTCCCCTCCCCCAAAAGCTCCCCTTCCCCTCGCCTTTGTTGGTCGTGCAAGTGTGTTCATGTGCGTTCAAATGCATTCACGTGCATTCACGTGCATTCACATGCATTCACGTGCATTCACGTGCATTCACGTGCATTCACTGCACTTGTAAGCGACGATTCAGTTATGCGTTCCCTCGTTGTGCATATGCCAACTGTGCTGTCTGGTGTGTGTGCGGGGTGGACGCTGGAAAGAAAGGGGGGAGCGGGGAGGGTGGGGGAGAGAGAGGGATGGTGAAGGGAGGGTGAACGTATGGGTAGAGAGGGGAGGGAGATGATTTGTGGTTGTGCACGAGCATGTGCGCTGCATACATGCATACATGCATACATGTATGCATGCGTGTGTGTGTGATGGTGGAATGGGGATGTGGGTGCATGCATGATGATGATGACCGAGGGAGAGGGGATGGGTTGAAGGGATGTGGCTGCTTGGTTGATGCTGATTGGCTGTTTCTGCTGTTCATGTGGCAACAGGAGGAGCGATGATGCGAACGCAGCAGTGGCTCGGATAGCACGAGGTATGACCCTGTATGATGTGGTGTCATGCGGTGTGATGCGGTGTCATGCGGTGTCATGTGGTGCCATGCCATGTGATTCTTCAACAATGTGATACAGGAGGACCGATGATAAGAATGCCTCTGTAGCACGGAATAAGGATCGCAGGAGGTATTTGCGCCAATATATGATATAACACGAATCTGTATATAGTGCAGCATTACTAGCCCTTGTCTGCTCACCCTTCCCCCTCTCTGCCACCCATCTTTCCCTCTCCCCCCACCCTGTGTCCTCCATGTCCTCCATGCCCTCCATGTCCTCCATGTCCTCCATGCCCTCCATGTCCTCCATGTCCTCCATGTCCTCCATGCCCTCCATGTCCTCCATGTCCTCCATGTCCTCCATGCCCTCCATGCCCTCCATGTCCTCTATGCCCTCCATGTCCTCCATGTACCCCATCCCCCACTCTCCCCCCAGGCCAGCGCCAGGCCATAGATGGGGGGCGTGTTCAGCTGCCGACTGCTGCAATCAGCAGCCTTCCAGTCAACCGCCTGTTCAAACCCATCCCTTCCCCCATCTCCCGTCTCCCCCACTCTCCCTCCAGGCCACCGCCAGGCCATAGACGTGGGGCGTGTTCAGCTGCGTGACTGTGGTGTCGACCAGTGCTTTGTCAACGTGGCAGACGTGCACCTGTGGGTATATTTGATTTGGCCGACCAGGCACCCACCCGTGTGTACAGTCTCTTGCCAATCTAATCACCTGTTGATGTGGTAACTTGTGGGTTAGAGGCGGAATTCTCCCTCTCCCCGTTGCTGTCGACCAGTGCTTCGTCTTCATGGGTGTAGTAACCACACTGTAGTCACTTGTCACTTTGTCACTTGTCACTGCAGGGACATGTCACTGTAGTCAGTTGTCACTGTAGTCACTTGTCACTGCAGTGACATGTCACTTTGTCACTTGTCACTGCAGGGACATGTCACTGTAGTCACTTGTCACTGCAGTGACAACTGACTAAAGTGACATGTCACTGTAGTCACTTGTCACTGTAGTCACTTGTCCCTGCAGTGACATGTCACTGTAGTCACTTGTCACTGCAGTGACATGTCACTCTAGTCAGTTGTCACTGTAGTCACTTGTCTCTGCAGTCACATGTCACTGCATTCAAAAACGAGCACTGCTTTCTTCTTCCCCCCTTGGCATCCCAGACCTCCTTTCCCTCACCAGGAGTACGTACGCGGGTGGGCAGGGCTGCACTTTCCTTGAAGCCCTTTGCTTCTCTCCTCTCTGCTACGCTGTCGAAATCGCTTTTGAGGCGCCTCAAAAGCCCTTTGCTTCTCTTCTCTCGGCTACGCTGGCGAAATCCTCAGAGCGTTTCCTGATGAGGTGACTTTTGAGTCGACTCAAAAGTCTCCTCAGCGCGTTTCCTCAGACTCAAAAGTCTCCTCAGCGCGTTTCCTCAGACTCAAAAGTCTCCTCAGCGCGTTTCCTCAGACTCAAAAGTCTCCTCAGCGCGTTTCCTCAGACTCAAAAGTCTCCTCAGCGCGTTTCCTCAGACTCAAAAGTCTCCTCAGCGCGTTTCCTGATGACACACTCTGCTTGCCTTGCATGCTCTCCCCTCTGGTCTGCCAGAAGCGCGCGGGTGGGCAGGGCGGCCGTCCCCTTGAAGTCGTCCTTTGGTTCTCTCTGCTACGCCATTGCAACTCTCAAAGCATTTCCCAAGCACCGCAACTTGGACCTGAGCATCAGAGTAAGCCGCATGTGCATGTCATTCGTGGTTTACATGTACCCTCTTGAAGCCCTTTCATCACCTGACTCAATCCCGTCCCTCCACTGTACTCCAACTATAATCTTTCTACTTCTTGTAGTTTGGCCAGGTTCTTGCCACTCGCTTTAAAAATCCCCATCAGCGTACTTCGTTGGTCCCTCCCCGTACAGTGCCCCTGGCAACCGAGGGCTCAACTCCCTCCCCCCATTTCTCCCATGTTTTCCTGTCGTCCCAGAGCATTCAGCATGGCAACGGCCCCTGGGGGACTCTTTTGAGTTGACCTGAAGCCCTCTTCACCTCCACCCTCCCCGTCTCTCCCATGCTTTCCTCTCATTTCAGTGCGTTTAGTGTGACAAGCGCCCCAAACAGACCACTCCCAGCAGCCACCACAGCTGCTGTGGGCAACTCGAAACGACTCATCCCCCACTGGCTGCCATCCCAATGCCACCTCTCATCACTGCGTCTCAATCAGACAGCCACCGGCTCCTCGGAGAACCTCCCAGCAGCCACCGTGGTGCCCTGCCCATAGGCAACGCCAGCTTGTTTAGAGATTTTTTAGTCGACTCAAAAATCAGCTTGTTAAGAGATTATTTAGTCGACTAAAAAATCAGCTTGTTTAGATTGTCTTTCAGTAGTATTTCGATTGTCTTCCTTCCCTACCCCTGCCCATTCCGTTCATCCCCCACTCCTCAACTCCTCTATTCCCCAACTCCCCATCCCTCAGATAGACAATGGCCCCTGGCAGACCCTTCCAGCAGCCACCATGCTGGCCATCGGCAACGCCAACTTCTTTGGAGGCGGCATGCGGATCTGCCCGCAGGCTAGTCCGAGCTCGGGCTCCTTTAACGTGCGTTTTGTTGTGGTACTAGGGGATGGGATCGGCTGGTGTGCGTGATGTGGTGATTCTTTGTGGGGGGCTTGCGGGAGAGAGAGGGGGAATGGGACAAAGGTCTGGTCACGGAATGGGGTCTTTGAGTTGGTAATGGGATCGGGTGAGTCATGTGATTTGGTGATTCTTGGGACCGTGCATGCAGAACTGAACTGTCAATACATGCCAATCCCGTCTCTGCCTGTTTAATTTGCCCCGATTCCCTCCCCGCTTCACCATTTTTTACAGGCCTAACATATGGATTCCAATCCCATCTCTGCCTGCTTGATGTGCCACCTTTTCCTTCTGCACCATGCTCTCACTCCATGCACCATGCTCTCACGCAACGCACCATGCTCTCACTCCATGCACCATGCTTCCACTCCATGCACCATGCTCTCACTCCATGCACCATGCTCTCACTCCATGCACCATGCTCTCACTCCATGCACCATGCTCTCACTCCATGCACCATGCTTCCACTCCATGCACCATGCTCTCACTCCATGCACCATGCTTCCACTCCATGCACCATGCTCTCACGCCATGCACCATGATCTCACTCCATGCACCATGCTCTCATTCCATGCACCATGCTTCCACTCCATGCACCATGCTCTCACTCCATGCACCATGCTCTCACTCCATGCACCATGCTCTCACTCCATGCACCATGCTCTCACTCCATGCACCATGCTCTCACTCCATGCACCATGCTCTCATGCAACGCACCATGCTCTCACTCCATGCACCATGCTCTCACTCCATGCACCATGCTCTCACTCCATGCATCACTAACATGCTTTAAGTGCACACTGCTTTGACATCTGAGTCGATTGAAAGTCATCCGCTTTAATGTGTCCCCTTTCCCTAATGCACCATGCTCACACACTGTGCACCATGCTCACACTCTGTGCACCGTTAATCACTCCTTTCCTCCCTTTCCATACTTTCTCCCTAATACCCCGTTACCCTATTCCCTCCGCCATCCCCCCTCAGGTGGTAACCCTATCTGGCTTTCGCCTGCTGGACTTTGTGCAGCGAGGATGGCGCCTTTTTGCCGGATCCCACATCGGCGTGAAGGGCGTGGAGAGCTACAGGTATGCTGCGCTCCTTTCTTCCACGCACTCTTGCCTTTTGAGTCGACTCACGTCTTTGCTGGATCCCACATCAGCGTGAAAGGCGTGGAGAGTTACAGGTTCGCTGCACTCCTTTCCTCCATGCACGCTTGCCTTTTAAAGCGAGGATCCCAAAAACCCCCGAGATCAAAAACTTTGTTTTTCATCTGGGGGCGTTTTGGCTGGAGACCAAAACTTGGTCTCTGGTCCCAAGGGGTTTTGGGATCCTGCGCTGCTTTGCGTACACTTCTGACTTTCAAGTCGACATTGGCATGCAAGGCGTGGAGAGTTACAGGTACGCTGCACTCCTTTCCATGCACGTTTGACTCTAAGTCAACTCACAAGTCTCCGCGTTGCAGGTTCCTTCCCACATGGGCGTAAAAGGCATGGATAATTACACTACATGTAATCGAGTCAAAACTTGTATGAAACAGGAAATATTGCACCTGTTTGCATGCGACACCCCCCTTATTTTCCGCTTCCTGCCCTTCCCTCATCTCCCGTCCCTCACATGCCAGTGCCAAGCTAATTGAAATAAAGGTGGCAGCAGCAGAGGGTGACAGTAAGGAGGTCAGCCAGGAGGTGTATGTGCAGGGTGATGGGGAGGCGTTGGGCCATCTCCCTGCAGTCTTCCAAATACTTCCAGGCGCAATCGACATTCTTGTCTGACGACGACGACGCCCCTGGTGCCGGAAAGAGGTGTCTATGCAAGGTGATGGGGAGGCATTGGGCCATCTACCTACCTGCAGTGTTCAGAATACTGCCTGGTGCAATCGACATCCAAGAGCGCTGGGATTAAATCCGGAGGTGTGGTACTTGCAATGCTCGGAATACGGCGTTTCCAAACTACAGTACTGGCATCAGATTCTGTTGATAATTCAGTTTCCTTCCATCCATAAACCTTTACAATGTACAAAGCAAACGCGGGCAAACCAGGCAGCCAAGCACCTCATCCTTGCAGCCAATGGTTCAAGCTCGCTTCAAAATCACATTTCCTCAGCAGGACCGGAAGAATAGATCTTGATTTGACAACACTACTTACCTGCTTCCACCTTCAACTACCGAAGCCTGGGACGGGGAGGGGACGCTCTCACAAGCCCCATCAACCGGTGCCTCCCAACTCCTCTTCAAATCAAACATCGTGAAGGACAACACTGCCAAACACCCAGTTTGTGCAGCCATTCCCTTCACAATCGGGCCGTCTAATACTTAAGATATCAAACTCGCTTCACTATCACATTCAACCTAAGCAGCGCCTGAAGAGTCTTCCTTGACACCTTCCCTGCTTCCACCCTCAGGCATCGCAACCTGGGGAAGCTCTCCCAAGCGCCATCAATTCCAGCAGTAGTGACCCTCTCACACTGCACGAGAGTGAGACGCTCGAGCGATGCAATAGGGCAGCTGTGGATAACCGTGTCTGAAACATCCACATTCTGACAAATCGTTAGCTCCTTCAAAACAGTGCACGCCTGAAGCAAGGCGACCAGACCTCCTTCCCCAAGAGCAGAGCTGTTGTCCAGAGTCAAGCTCCTCAGATCCTTAAATGCAGCTTGCCACTGAATGCCTCCCAGCGCTTCATCAATGCTTGAACGCGTAGTTTCAGGGACAGGAAGGGCTCCCCGGGCTGCAGGGTCAGAACAGGGAGCTGACATGCTGGCAAGGGTGTTACGACCGCAGAAAGAGAACTTCTCAAGGGTCAACGACTTGAGAGGAGGGTGGATCAGCTCTGCAGACTGAGGGTCATCCAGATCCCATCCAATCTTTGCTTTCACACGGTCAGCATAACTAAGCTTAGCCTGCCATATTGACCGCCCTACCGCAGGCTTTGCAACCCACCCCTTCGGCAGCCACTTTTTTCTGCCCCAACCCTCGGGCCGAACGAGCATGCGGACCAGGCCTTCCAGCTTGCCTTCGAATGAACCAAGAGTGAGGGACTGCAGACAGCTGAGGTCTGTGAGGAGAACACGCTGACATGTGTGAAACGAAGTAAGGGTGAGAGTTTCCAGCTGCTGGCAGCAATCCAGCATGGCATTGATCTTGTCTCGGGTGGAGGAAGCGGTCGGGTAGAGTTGGAGAGAGAGCGAGCGGAGTGCAGGGTTCGAGCCAACAACAGCCTTCACACCATCTTCAGTGATGTGTTTGCATTGGACGAATGCCAGCCCGGAAAGGGAGTGAATGGACTTCGACAAGTACTGCAGTTCAGTGTGTGTGATCTCATCACAGGATTGGAAGGAGAGGGTGGTGAGGCCGGTGAACGAGCTGAGGGTTAGGAGCGAAGAGCTGACGTCAGAATGAATCAGCTTCAGTGACTGGAGTGAGGAAATGGAGGAGGATGCAGCGGTGAGAGTGCACAGCATGGCGTCAGTGATGTGTGAGACGGTCAGGGAGGTGAGAGAGGAGGAGTGGCAGATGGGCGAGGGGTCCCTTGGATAGGACATGCAGATGAGAGTCAGGGACTGGAGAGCCGTGAAGGATTCAAGCGGAGGAAAGACCGCCTCTGCTGTGTAGAACCCGTGAATCTCGAGGGACCTTAGAAACCTGAGAAATCACCGACGAAAAGGGATTTGGTAGGCAGAGAAAACAGACATTTCAACAAAGAAACTGCTGCGGTCTAATTCTTACTGCATTTAAGGCTCACCGGCTTTCTTGACCAAATTTCTCCCACGCAGCCGTGCTGACATTGTCACATCCCAGCGCAACGAATCTCTCCAATTTCGGACATTCCGAGGCGACAGCTTCCAGAAGCTCATCCCCGAGTTGTGTCCGTCTGAGATTACGGCTGAATCTAGTATGCTTATTGTACATCCGTAGATCGTTGACACACCCTAATTTCACGGAGCAATCTATTAGGTTCTCCCGAAACGCCTCGAAACCATTGTCAGTTTCAAGGTGCAACGAACGAGGACATAGCTTTAAAATCCTCCGAAATCGCGAGCAGGTGAGAGCAGCGTTACGGCGATCGTCCGGTTCATTGAGGTGAGAGAGGACTGCCAGTAGAATCTCATCCGGAAAGAAAAGTATGCGAAAAAACTTTCGGCTCATGGTGAATGTAACGAACAACGTCAAGTAACGTTGGATAATGTTAGATGCAGGACGGTCGTGTGGAGGGTCAGCCCCTGATGACTAAGAAACTTGGAAGCTCTTGGAGCTTCAATTGGTGCTGGACTGGAACCTGATCTCCCTAGGGGAGACCAACAACAGATCTGAAGGATGGGGATAGACTAGGAAACGGAATGTCCGACTTGGAATCCTCACGAAAGGGGTATTTGGATTTTGAATTTGAATTTGAATTTGAATTTGAATTTGAATTTGAATTTGAATTTGAATTTGAATTTGAATTTGAAAATACCAGGAAACGGTTATTACACTGCCCTGGTTGGAGACACGACCTGACACCAAGTTGATTATGGAGTCCGGTGTCAGGACCCCCAGAAATGAACCAGCGAGTGAAACAGCTTCTGCTGTCTCGTTTTTGCCGGAAGCTTTACAGCACGTTGTTGGCACCCTGACGAACCGTGACAAAGCAGCCAGACTCGAAATGACCCAGACCTCCAGATTCGAGCCGGGGATCATCTCGAGCTCCAAAGAAGCAACAAAAAGGCATGAAGCTTGAACCCTCTTCCAGTTTTAGATCGTGTCGAAAGTGCCCTACGTATCACCTCAACACCTTCAGGATACCACAATACTAATGGTGTGGCACAGCGGTTGCTTGTACACTCCAACTACTAGCAAAGAATGCGGCAAATTAATTGACTGGAAAGAAACAGAGGCACTAGAGGTGACAGCTGACAATGGAATCACTGGCATCAATGCAGCTGCTGAATTCCTACACAGCCCACAAGCAGCCTACATAGCCCACAAGCATAAGGGAAAACAACTAAAGCTAAGGCTCCTACAAGACTCAAAATAATACCCCTTAGTAAAAACAGAAACAGCTACTAGCAGCAGATGACGCAGAAGTAGGTAGCAAGTGAAGCGGAAGCAGATAGCAAGTGACGCGGAAGTGAAGCGGAAGCAGCTAAGAGCAATCACTGGTCATATAGGAGCGGATAGGTAAAGGGGATGTCGCCCTGTTGGTGTTGAGTGCAGACGAGAGAAAAGAGGGGGGAGATGAAAGGTGAGAGTGCGAGAGAGGTGATGGGAGGAGTTGAAAGATGCCTTGTGGGGTTATAAGCCTGGCGCAGGCATGCTAGGATGGCTGAAAGGACATGACGCCATTGGAGGAGATGACCAGGCTTCTGGTTAATGGCGCAAGGATAAGAAGCCATGCAGGGATAAAGAAGGCATGCACAAATCAGCGGGAATGCAAACCAGAGGAAAGAAGAAGTCAGCCATTTAGGCACTCACAAATAGGCATTTGTCGTGAAGGAAATAGTCGAAAGGGAGGAAGTCACGTATGCAGTCCCTGTGCAATCGCTGGTTTGATAGGCGGTGAAGGTGGAGCAGAGCAGCCCATTGGGGATATTGTAGGCATAGAGTGTTAAAGTGAGAACTGAATTATTGAGTAGAGAGAGAGTACAGGTGAATATACCTAAGTGTTGTACCCTCTAAGAGGTGGCCCTATACAGTCTATGCAAACATAGGAGATACACATGTTTGACATAGAGCATGGTGTTGAAACCAGCCACCTCCGTGGGGAGCGGAGTGCACATCATGCGGAGGAAGCGGAGTGTGTAGGGCCGGGAGCTGTTGTCTTTGGCAAAGCGGTCCTTGATAATTGTCATGCTGTGGCCCGTCTCAAGGGGCGTAATAGTGGCCGTCACTGGCGGAAGTTTCACAAGCAGCATTGGACAGGAGAGGGTGGGGGAGTATGAATAAGCGCCCCTACAGTAGCTTGGAAATCAGAGAGCCAGGAATCAGGGTTAAAAAAAACATGGCAGGTTGGATTGTCGAGACTTACATAGCTGACATGTGTTATTGACCAGTTTGTAACCATCCGCGCATCGGAAGTAAGGCACTACAACGCTCGCGTTATTCGCGTCAGGTACGGTGTAGCAGGTGGTTCTAGTGGGGCAGCTGCCACAAAGGAAGCCTGATGGACACAGCAGGCAAGAGATGCAGCAACGACAAAAGCAAGGGAGAGCTTAATGTGGAGTGGAGAGCACAGGGAAGGGTTGATATGTGGGGTCCAGTGTAGTGTGTGCATTGCTGGAGACCGTGCCTACCCCCCACTGGCAATAGGTAGGCCATTCAAGGTGTACAAAGAAGCATGTGGATGACAACTACGGGCACATGGGTATGTCACAGAGCCACTGGGTGCTTACGCCATTTGCAAACGGGGAGTCCACCCCCCAGCGCACAGGTTCCATCCGGTCTGCAGTTGAATCTGGTACACGGGGTCATTGAAACATGCAAGCAACAAGGGTGAGTGGTGGGAATGGGGGCACTCCGATCACAGTTAAATCGGCTCCTGCTCAGTCCAGGTGCATCAAGCGCAGCGAAAGCACTTGCCATTGCATGCTGGGCACGGGGGAATGTGGGGACAGACAAAGGAGTATGGGGACAGACAAGGGAGTGTGGGGACAGACAAGGGAGTGTGGGGACAGACAAGGGAGTGTGGGGACAGACAAGGGAGTGTGGGGACAGACACGGGAGAGTGGGGACAGACAAGGGAGTGTGGGGACAGACAAGGGAGTGTGGGGACAGACAAGGGAGTGTGGGGACAGACAAGGGAGTGTGGGGACAGACAAGGGAGTGTGGGGACAGACAAGGGAGTGTGGGGACAGACAAGGGAGTGTGGGGACAGACAAGGGAGTGTGGGGACAGACGGGGGAGTGTGGGGACAGACAAGGGAGTGTGGGGACAGACAAGGGAGTGTGGGGACAGACGGGGGAGTGTGGGGACAGACGGAGGAGTGTGGGGACAGACGGGGGACAGATAATATCATGGGGTCGGTGTCATGAATGGGTATGCTGCCATATGGGTGGATCTCCCATCCTCTCAATCAGACGCACGCACCGCATGTCGTGGAAAGAACTGTCTCATTCTGGTCCAGCATGGGATCGTTCACCACTGGACCACAATCAGCCTGGGTCCCGCATGGCGGCACTGTACCCAAGGGCTTGCCACAGATGGCACACTCTCCTGGGGCCCTCTGCGCCACAGACACACAGCTATAGCAGTTACTTGTCATGTTGGCTATCTTGTTAGTTGGAAAGGTGCCGGTTAAGAAGTTAACACTGAGGTTGGGGGAACCGAGGTAGGGACTGATGGTAGGGACGAATCCTGAGAGGTAGTTGTGGTGGAGGTCGCTGGGAATGGGAGGGATGAAAGGTGGGGGACGGGGGGAAGAGGGGAGAATGGTTGGATGTCCATGGGAGGTGGTTTTAAGGATGACCATGATTGAGGGAAGGGGGGGAGGAAGGGGGGTTGCAAAGAGAGAATGGTTGTGAGGGGGAAGCTTCAATTGAGTGAGGAAAAAAGGTAGGTAGGAGCCTATGGGGTGAGATGCGGTGAGTGGCGTACAGATATGTTAAGCTCGGGTGGCTGAGAAGCGCTGCTGGGATCAATCCATAGAGGAAGTTGGTCTGCAATTCCCTGCGGTGCAGCGTTGAAATGCAGGAGTGCAGGGGGGTGAAGTCATGCACGGACATGGGAGATTTGCACCCTGTTGACGGCACACCGAAAAAATGAGACCAATAGTGTTTTTCCATCTTCAGGCTGAGAGGCCCGATTGGGGAGGATATGTGTTAGAAGGTACGAAGTTCACTTGATGGGGTTGCTGGTGAGGATGGCAGCTTACAGTTGCCGCAGCTTGTTCATGGGGATCAGATTGGCTACGAAGTCTGAGAGGCGAGGTTGAAAGTAGTTGTAGCTCAGCTCACTGCAGGGACACAAGGTGGAATCAGATCAGACAGAGGAGAGATTAGCACGGAATAGAGGAAAAACATGAAGGGAGAGGGGAGGGAAGAGGAGAGGACATGAGAGGGGAGGGCAGGGGAGAGGACATAAGAGGGGAGGGCAGAGGAGAGGACATAAGAGGGGAGGGCAGGGGAGAGAACATACGAGAGGAGGGCAGGGGAGAGGACAGACGAGGGGAGGGCAGGGGAGAGAACATACGAGTGGAGGGCAGGGAAGAGGACATACGAGGGGAGGGCAGGGGAGAGGACATACGAGGGGAGGGTAGGGGAGAGGACATACGAGGGGAGGGCAGGGGAGAGGACATACGAGGGGAGGGCAGGGGAGAGGACATACGAGGGGAGGGCAGAGGAGAGGACATAAGAGGGGAGGGCAGGGGAGAGGACATAAGAGGGGAGGGCAGGGGAGAGGATATGAGAGGGGAGGGCAGGGGAGAGGACATAAGAGGGGAGGGCAGGGGAGAGGATATGAGAGGGGAGGGCAGGGGAGAGGATATGAGAGGGGAGGGCAGGGGAGAGGACAGAAGAGGGGAGGGCAGGGGAGAGGACATACGAGGGGAGGGCAGGGGAGAGGACATACGAGGGGAGGGAAGAGGAGAGGACATACGAGGGGAGGGCAGGGGAAAGGATATAAGAGGGGAGGGCAGGGGAGAGGACATACGAAGGGAGGGCAGATGAGAGGACATACGAGGGGAGGGAGGAGAGGATGGGATAGGAGAAGAGAGCAAAAGTATGTGATGAGAGGAGAGGAGTGGGTAGAAGATCAGACGAGAGGAGAAAAGATGATGAGAGGAGAGGAGAGAATAGGACAGGACAGGAGAGGAGAGGATAGGAGAGGAGAGGAGAGGAGAGGGGAGGAGAGGAGAGGAGAGGAGAGGAGAGGAGAGGACAGGAGAGGTGGCACAGCTGAGCATGAAGAGTAGAGCACAGCACCAATGTACCACATTGTCCTACACACGGTGCCGTCGAGAAGGGGAAAGGGAAGGGTGAGACGGAGGGACAGAGGAGGGAGGGAAGAGGGAGGCGGGAAGGGGGTAGGAAGGGGTTTTTTTAGGCGCGCGATACAGTGCAAAGCAAGCAACGCCAGTACACTTGATCTCATCTTCTCTCATCATCGCATGCGATGGTTCACCACAGAGACGCACCATCGTAGCACAGCACAGGAGCACAGGCCACTAGTGGACGTGGTGGAAATGCCGGTGGCACTCACACGGAATTGAAATATCCCTGACTGTCGGAGACCGTGTTGATACACATGCTGCACGGGTTGCTCTCCGCCCAGCTCGCATAGCTTGTACTGGTCACGCTGAGGTTCGACTTCAGTTTGAGCAGCAC